ATACCTATCATAAGAGGTCGAAACATCATCTCAAATGCCAGAAGCGGCCAAGGTATTTGGCGGAAAAGCCGAAGTGTTCCTGTTAAGGAACCCTCACGTTCTAGTGAGGACAACGGCCCTTTTCAGGGCCAACTTAATCAATGTAAAAGAGTTCTCTCCCCTTCTTTTGGTCTTCCTTCCCCTCCTCTCCCCTTCTTCTCCCTTCTGCTCTCTTCTTCTTCTTCTTCTTCTTCTTCTTCTTCTGCTCTCTCTCTCTCTCTCTCTCTCTCTCTCTTCCCGCGCGCGCGCGCCCTCTCTTTCTCAAACTAGGTCACTGCACGTGCAAGGGGTCACTCAGTGCAAGGTCATGACGAACTAGGTCACGGGGTCATTCAGTGCAAGGTCATTACGAACTAGGTCACGGGGTCACTCAGTGCAAGGTCATGACGAACTAGGTCCCGGGGTCATTCAGTGCAAGGTCACGCACGTGCAAGGTCAAGGTCACGTGCGCGCATGCGCAGCACGTGCGTCCCTATATAGGCCCCCTAACTACTCCTAGGATGATGAAAAATTAGTTCGTGATATTTCCTAGTTTTATTAAAATACATACAATACATTAGATTTATATACAAAGGCGATTTCACTGTTTATTGGTGTTGGTGGCGCTGATGGTCTTCCTTGGGTGGTGCTTCTGGTATTCTGGTATTATTGTTTCTGAAGAGAAAAGAAAATCGTGTTTGTTCCACATCACCGGGTTACGGCTAGGGATTCTTATATCTAATTGATTTTAATTACTAACGGTTAGGCATAGGATTTGATATATGGTTTGTTTTGGGTCAGGGTGGAGACTGGTCTTATTTAATCTAATTTACTGTGCACTAGGATGTCGTTCAGATTTTTATTTTTAGAATATGCAATTATAAGTTTCTGTGTGAATATTTTCGGGTGATTTTCTTGGAGATCAGTATAGTGTTTTCTGATGATTTTGGACGCACTTGCTGCTGTTGCGCTAAATGGAACTACAAAAGGAGCTATTGCGCTAGCCGTATGAATATTCAAACCTAGGGGGGCTGTTGTTTTCAATTTGTCAATCCAGAATTTTTCTCTTGTTAGCCTAAACGTTTTAATTTCTTCTGAAGTTTCAAAGTCGCTCTTGGTCTTTTCTATTGGCGTGACAATGAGATCTGAAATGTCATGATTTGGTTGGTTGAAATGAATTGAGACAGGTTTGTCTTTTTTGGTGACTATGTCAGACCGGTGACCGTTAATTCTTTCCCTAAGTGCATTTTGAGTCTCCCCTACGTATTGCTTGTCACATTTTCTGCATGAGATTAGATAAATTATGTTTGAACTACTGCATGAAAGTTGGTCTAATATTGGGAATTTTGTGCCAGATGTTTTGTTATGGAAATGGTCGGATATGTTTAAGATTTTGCATGTTTGACATCTTGGATGGCCACAAATTTTGGTTTTATGTGCTGATTGTATATAATTTGTTTCTTTGGCGGCAAGCTCAGCTAGAGTGTTGTTTTTTATACGTCGTAGATAGCGTTTGGAGTATCCCCTTTCCCGTAGTTTGCTAAATACCAATGTACATGCTGACTCAAAGTCGGTCTTCTGAGTACATATCCTATGAAAACGGAGAATCTGAGATTTTATGATGCCAGAGAATGTATGTTTTGGGTGAAAGGAGCTTTTGAACAATAATTGATGTGTGTCGGTTTCTTTGAAAAATACTTTAGTTTCCAATTGGCCTGTGATTTTGGTGTTGTTACTTTTAAAAACGGTAGTATCAAGGAAATCTATGCTGTTATGGCTTACATTTGCGGTTAATTTGACAGATGGATGATGATTGTTCAGGATGTTGAAAAACGTCCAAAATTCGTCTAGTGTGTAGGTCCAGACTATGAAAACGTCATCTAAAAACCGCCCATAGAAATCTGGTTTTAATGGACAGAGTGGCAGAACTTCCCTTTCCCACTCCGCCATGAAGAGATTTGCATAACTCGGGGCAAATCGTTTTCCCATCGCAGTTCCGGAAGACTGAAGGTATACTTGGTCGTTAAAAGCGAAGTCATTCCTCCTCAGACAAATGTTGAGTAGTTTGAGGATTTCTTCGTCCGGCCTGGATGCTTGCGGGTTCCTAAGAAATGCTTTCCTAACTGCTTCAATACCTATTTTATTATCAATGTTCGTGTACATGCTTTGTACGTCGATGGATATTAAAACGGTGTGTTCGGGGACTCTTAACTGTTTGATTTTCTGAATGAAATCGTTAGTGTCTTTAAGGTAGGATGGGTGTTGGCATGCTAGGGGTAATAAGAAATGGTCTATATATTGTGATACGTTGTATGATTCGCTGCCACAGTCTGATATTATTGGGCGTCCCTTGGGTATTTTATTAGGTATAAACCATTCTGTTTCTGGATTTTTATGTATTTTTGGTAGTGTATAGAGATGTCTTTGTCGGCAGTCAGATTTAGCAGATAGATAATCATATTGTTTTGCTGTTATGTATTCCTTATCCTGCAATTCATATAAGATGTTGTTTATTAAATTTGCGGTGTCTTTAAAGATTGGTTGGTCTAATTTAGTGTAATGTATAGGATTACTTAATTGTTTTTCTGCCTCTGAGATATAGTCTGCACGATTCATTATGACACAACACGAGCCTTTGTCGCTTTTCTTAATTATTATGTTTTTGTCCTTTTTAAGGGTGTTTAATGCCGTTTTAGTTGCTCGGTTGAGATTTGGTTTTTGTGACTGTGGTTGAATGGATGATATTTCTATATTCATTTCGTCGAAAGTTTTTAGGATGGCTGGTGATAATGACTTTTTAGGTGGTTTCCATGTGGATTTTACTGTGAATAATTTTTTACCTCTGCCGGGTTTGTTCCTAAAAAAATAAGTCAACGAAAGTGTTCTTTGGAAGCGATCGGTTGCCTGGGTGATGGGGTCTATGGATGTTATTGTGGGGGTTGGGATGAATTTAAGGCCTTTATCAAGAATGTTCATTTCTAGGGGGTTGAGAAATCTGTCGCTCAAATTGACAACTGTCTGTCCTAAAGACGGCTTCTCATTCCTTTTCCCTAATCCTAGTTTAAATTCCTCATCCAGCAGTTGATGATCTCTCTGGCCGTGTCTGGGCTCCAGTGGATTGCGTCGTTACCTTTCAGTTCTATTTTGCCCTTGAAGGTTGGTAATGTGGTGGCGTTTGGTGAAGGTGCAGTGGAGATCAGTTGGTTGTAGCTGGTGATGTTTTGGTAGGCGATCGGATTTTCTTGTCGGAGTCGGGAAGAAGTGGGGATCTGTGTGGCGAAGAGCTTGTTTGTTGGGAAAGCTGCTCTGGTCACCTTGAGTAGATCTAGCATCTGCTCGTGTATCCTTGGTCCACTTTCCTCCCTGTTGTTGAGCCCGACGTGTATCACTAATTCCTCTGGTGCAGGACCCATGTAGTTCTGGATTATCTGTCTGATGTGGCTGATCTTGGCTCCAGAGTAGCTATGGATCTCCCAGTCCCCGACGAAGGATGCAATCCTAGCCAGGTTAGAGGATCCAATAACCAGGGTCTTTGCCATGACGGGTGGTAGGAACCATAAATCCTTCTCGTCTTTACCTTTGTAGCTGTGAGGTCTCTTTAGGGATAGGTTGAGTGATCGCCTACATCTGGTGGAAGATCTGGTGGCGATTCTAGGGTTAGGAATGATGGGCGATCTAGGGGACAGACAGTCGACAAGCGCGTTTAGTGGCGATATAGATCCCGAGGAAGTAGGTGAGCCAGACACAGCCCGGGGCGAACTGGTTGATCTAGCTGCACGCTTCGAGGGAGTGTTAATGCAAGTGCCTTCTCCAGGGGATAATTTTCTCTTGTTGGGTGTGTATCGTTTTGGTGTGTCCCGGAGAAGGTTGTGCGTAATGTGCATGGGTGATGGGGGAGGGGGCGTGACAGTTTTAGAGACCGTGGACAGTAGGCGGTGGAACTCTGTCTTCACACTATCCTGAAGTCGCTTGCCGTAGGACTTCTTGGCCCATGCTAGGGCGTGGCTAGAGTACTCTTGTACAGCATCTTTGGAAAAGTGACGTGACTTCAAGTACTCCAGTTTCTCCGCTAGCATGGCTCGGTAGTGTGTCGACAGGGATGAGGCGACGTCCTTGGCCCATTTCAAGCCCTCGATAAACTACTAGAAGGTTTTATTACTCAACAAATAACTTCTCGAAGTATGTAATAAGATCTAATCGGGTGCACACGCACCGGTCTAATCAGGTGTCGCGGATTGAGCCATTACCCGGTTTGATCGTGCTTACGGATCTGTTTGGTTCGAAGTTCTGTCATTTTTTCTCATTATCATTATGGATTTTCCTGTTAGGACGCTTTTCAACAACCTTAAATTTCCATTTCTTCAACATACCAAGATTCGCATTTCTTACAAGTATACAGCTGGTCATATTATTTGAAATTGTTCAGTTAATTGAATAATACAAAATGTACAATGTTTTTCGCCTACCTATTTTTATTCCTAAATTGTTATGATAGTGAGTGATTTTTGATGTTCTAACTTAACGGAAGTCATTAAGCAAATTACTGCCTCCAAGTGACGTCATGTCATTCCGTACGACAACCAGTGGCATCATTTACATTGCTTCTCCCTTCCTTCAGTGCTAGGTTTTCTGGGGGTTTTGAAGGACGTATGTTCTAACTTTGTATTTAATAATACGCCTATATATCTGTCAAGCGCTCATAATTATCGATTACTATCAAAAAGTACTTTTACGGTAACTTTTGCGATTTAAAATTGATAATACAATTATTTGGACCAGGTACTATTGATATTGTTCTTCTTGGTGTTCTTTTTCTACTTGGAGCGACGCTTTTAGAAAACAAAACAAATGATACGATGTCACAATTCCTGGTCAATAGTACTTGTTTTTATTAGTACATCCACCACCTGTGGATTAGATAACAACGAACATAACTGGCATTATACACAACACTTTCTCAATTTGAGCATTACTAATTTTAGGTCTCTGGGGCTTAGTAAATAATGCCGGAATGCAGTATTTTGGAGAGGTTGAATTCCTACCGTTGGAGTATTTTCAAAGGAATATGGACGTTAATTATTTTGGTATGGTAAGAATGTGTCAAGCTTCAATACCAATGCTGAGAAGGACCAAAGGTAATTTTTAAGTTTGATCGAGCTGTGAACTTATCATACTTTGTTAGACTCAAAATGATTCTTTAATGTCAGAATGGTACTACGTTGAGGCCTGTATTCTCAACTTGTAGTTTTATAATGCAATACAAATACTTAATTGATTTCGCCTTAATAGTCGGTTTTTCCATATTTGTTTCAGGAAGAATAATAAATGTTACAAGTGTTCTTGGTTTATATGCTGTGAAATATAGGGCAACTTATTCACCTACGAAATATGCTGCTGAAGCTTTTTCCGATATTTTACGCCGGGAAATGAAGAAATTCGGCATAAGCGTCGCCATAGTAGAACCTGGCGATTTTGGTGATGTCACCAATGTACAACAGGTAAACTACATTTACCCCCTCCCCCAGACATTGCGTTTTCCCCTGTATCTATGCTTGATCAACGTCATATCATAGCCAAAGAAGCATGTTGCCAAAGCAAATATAATGGACCATGCCGTTCTTGTATTTTGTATTATAATCAGAAATATTCTGAAATGTAGATACATGTAGTTGTTTTTGAAATATCGTATTGTTTATCTGAATCATCGTATTGCTACATCAAATCCTTTTTTTGTTCTTTTGCACTATTTTCATGTTTCATAATATATATGCTGCTCCTAATAGGCGTATTGATACAATAAAATGGTATCTTATATTATATTATGTTCTTATGCATCATTTATCACCCCCAATATTTTTGTTCAAAAGTATTAGAATTATGGAACATTAATGGTTTGTTCTAGACAAGTACGTTTTCATATTACTTGTTAGCATGCACGATAGGACATTTCAAGAAAAAAAGGAGAAATGCAAATGATAACCATATGTTCTAATGTAATATTGTATTTTATATACCCCCGTTAAAAACAAAGATTTCCGCATACAAAATGACCGACACAGAAAAATGAGGTGTCACGAGCAACATTGACTGGTCAATGCAAGACTACAATTTTGTGACTTGGTCACTTGGCCACATATGAAATGAAAATACAACATAACCATTATCAGATATCAATCAGATATCAACAATATACGGAACGAACACTGTAAGTGTGTTTATGCATGCGATAGAACCGCGAGATATTAATATACACAAAATGTTTATTCATGCAGCCGAATATCTATTTAATATTACTTTAACATTTTTACAGGCCGAAGTCATTAGACGTCAAAACGATTACGCATGGAATCAATGTTCAGAAGAAATAAGAAACTTTTACACAGAAGATTATATTAAAACCATTGGCTTGAAACATTCTTATAACAAACAGAAAGCTTTTAATAACAATATTGACTATGTTCTACAAACCGTTGACGATGCCTTGTTTTCAAAACAACCAAAGACCAGGTATCTTATAGACGGTCGAGGGTATACATTAGATAAGTACTGTGTAAGTATATCTCATATAATTATTGACTTTAATTCCATGAAAACTTTGTTTTAGTGCGATCACGTGCCAAGTGTAGTGCCCATATCGAATACTAAATGTATAATAACTGGTCCCTTTTATAATATTGTACATCACAATATATGCTCCCGTAATATCTGGATTTTAGAGACTATACCGGCGAGCGGGTAGCGAGGCCTAACTGCCACGTCCATCTTTCATATAATTATCTCTGTATGTGAAACATATAAACAACCATGAATAAAACAACATTATAAATGGCTACTTTATTAAATATACCATACCAGCCTTACCGACAATTCAAGCCGATTCATATACCATGTCGTTTCGATGTATATGTTGAGCGCAGATGACCCTCCTCGGACAGATTACTCCCACGCATGCGCGAATCTCCGTCTAATTTCCGATGAGTAATCTGCGCGCGCAAAGTGAACTTTGTCCGGACTAAAATGGATTACCGCGATGATAATCCGCCTAATCTTACTCGGTATTCACTTGACTACCAGAAAACAGGAAGTAGTAGAAGGGCTTTTGAGTTATAAAGCAGTTTCCGCCGAGAGGTCTATATGACATACTTTGTGAACCTACATACGGGTCTCTAAGACCTCGTTACTAAAGTAACTACGATCTGTCAAAATATTATTACACTACAGCAAATATTTTTGACATTCAGTCACGTGGTCAGCACCGATTATGAGATACTGCTGACTAGAATTAAAAATATTATTTTCTAAGCACACACGCTAATTGTTCTGAACGGCAACCGTCTTCAAACAAGAATCACAACGCAGTGGAGAAGCTTTTAGTCAATTCGCCACGCGTCTTAGATCTCTAGTCTCTACATGTGAATTTACGAATGTAAAGGAAGTCATCGCTACTAATCACAGCTCAAACGACAAATTCTTAGAAAACCTGGTATCACTCTTGATAAAATACTCGAAATAGCTACCGCTATGGAATCATCAGAAACCCAAACTAACCAAAATTAATCACCTACCGGAATAAATTATTCATATATACAAGCAGACAATGTCCAGCAATAGGAATAACATGTTCCAGGCGTGGCACACTGAAACACTCTGCCAAAGTTTGAAATGCCAAATTTGACAATGAACCCCTCCCACGTGAATGGCGCTATTGCGTGTCGCATGTGCAGCTCAGTGGTTCTGTTGGGGCGATAAGTTTTCAAAGCATGTCAAGTGTCCATGACTATTCATCATATCACAACTTGCATAGGTATTTGCATTTCAATATCCCCTACTTTTTTTGAAGAGTAGTGATTTTCTTCGGAACTATTAAAGTAAGTTTTTAACACCCATTTAAAAAAGGGCGTTATTAGACCACTTGCTTCCGGTCATTTTTCAAAAAATATTCTCATTATTCTCAATAGATATAGGTCGTCCTCGATTTTTAGCAAATTGTAAAATGCCCGAGTCTTGAGTCGCTGGTAAATGAATTATGAAAGAAAATGTTATTCAAATAACGGTTCGGTAGACAATCAAACGTCACGTAAAAATGGCGACACCGACAAATCAAGGCAAACGGTAAAAAATATTTATTTTTAGATAATGTCGATGTAATTTTTTCTTGAATTTTTGAGCGTGTAGAACTGTCAGAAAATCTCTAACATCGATCTGCTAGTAATATATTGTTTGCTTGTGTATAGTACTAGCAGGATACCCGGCTTCGCTCGGGGGTCATAACCCCGAAACCGAAAGTGGTAGACTAACGCCACCTGGCCTATGTTACTCCCCGGTCCGAGCTACCCGTATACCCCAAATTTCAGACTCGGGGCAGATGTAGCCGCCAACCCCGAACAGACAGACTTCGCTCGGGGGTCATAACTCCGAAACCGGAAGTGGTAGACTAACACCACCTGGCCCATGTTACTCCCCGGTCCGAGCTAGCCCTATACACCAAATTTCAGACTCGGGCCAGACATAGTGTAGCCGCCAACCCCGAACAGACAGACAGACAGACAAACGACAGTCACATATATATATATAGAATAGATTTGTACCAAATCATTGCACATAATGTAGTAATGACTACATGTATTCATCATATCACAACCTGCATAGGTATTTGCATTTCAATATCCCCTACTGGTTTTTTTTTAAGAGTATATATAAACAACCATGAATAAAACAACATTATACCAAGTGTAAAATAAAATCGAGAGTGCTTAACGCGTACTTTGTTTGAATATCGCGTTCAGAACGTTTTCGACAGTGGGTAGATAACTCCGGAACTGAATATCGATAGGGTTCTTCCTCTGATCACCACAATGAATCAGTTAAAAACTGTAGCCTCTATGTTTTCGGAAACGTTTGCGGAACGCTAAATTTGAAAAGTAAATCCGGAAATTCACATGTCAATTGTAGTCGCGCGTACGAGGCGACAGACAGTGTGACTACATAATATAATAACAAGGCTTATTATTGTAAAAACAATGATTATACTTTTTCTTGCACAGATTCACACCTGGCCATCTTTACAGTAAAATTGCGTCATTTGCATTTTTTACCAAAATATCAAATGTATGTGTGGTTCAATGATCGAGGGAGAGATGTTAAGTAATATATTGATATTAAAATTTCACGTGGACGATAGTCCGAGGACTATATGTATATATTACGCAATGTCTTGCACAAGACCATTAATCAATTTGAAATACAGACACTACCCTGCATGTGTATTTCAATGAAACCGTCACGCTAGTCTAATATTGTATCTAGTATAAATAATGTACGATTGGCACGTGCTTTGTTTGTATGTCTTCTATATTTAATTATAGAATGTCTTTGTGTCATGTCTTTATTATTTACAAAGATAAATTAAAGTGTTATCAATCTATGCTGTACGATATCTAATAAGCCCGCGGCCATTTTAAATTGTTTGCGAACAGAATTGATAGGCATAATTAAATCCAATTGAATACATCCCATTGAATCAATTGTTGACATTTTGATTTTGTTTACTTCAATAATCAAGCAGATTACATTTTAGTGTGAATTAAGCTGTGTTAAAATGCAAATGTTAGCTCACCATTATATCAAATAATGGTACGGATAACGTGCCAATCGTTCATTATTTATACGAGATAAAATATTAGACGAGCGTGGATTATTAGCGTGGATTAAGTGCGAGACATTAAGTTATATATCGATATTGCACGAGTGTGTGTAGCACGAGTGCTACATCTATATATTACGCAATGTCTTGCAAGAGACCATTAAACAACCTAAAATACAGCACGTACATTCCAATGAAATACGTCACGCGGGTCCACTATTTCAACTAGTATAAATAATATTCACTTGGCACTTTGCCCGTATCATTATTTGAATTGGCTTGAGAATTTACTTTTCAAATTTAGCGTACCACAAACTTTTCCGAAAACATAGAGGCTACAGTTTTTTTAATTAAATCATTGAGGTTATAAGAGAAGTAACCCTATCGATATTCAGTATCGGAGTTATCTGCCTACTGCCGAAAACATTCTGAACCCGACATCTAGGGTTCGGCGAATTTCCGTTTCAGTGTTACCCCCATTCATCATTCTGACCCCTTGCCGAAAACCGTGTAAACCTACAGTTATGTTATTAGATCTTGTGGGCTCATGAGAGGACGAACCCTATCTATATTCATGGTTGCGTCATTTTTTCTTGCGGTGTTATTAACCCCCCCCCCCCCCCGACATTTTTTGTTGAAAACATTGTGACCGTTCTTACCAGAATGCTTTCAATTTGGTGTTACAAGCCCACCCCACTTTGCAGAAACTACGACTGAAACTACGATTTTTTTTTACGGATTTTGTCAAGCTTGTGCGCACAATAGAGATCAGAATTTGATCAACATCAAAGCTACTGTCGAGACATGCCTGCTGTGTAGGCGTATTTACGCGATTTGCTTGACTATATTTTTTTTTTTTTTTTGTTTTTTTGACTTTGCAGAAACTACGACTGAAACTACGGTTTTTAATGGATTTTGTCAAGCTTGTGCGCACAATAGAGATCAGAATTTGATCAACATCAAAGCTACTGTCGAGACATGCCTGCTGTGTAGGCGTATTTACGCGATTTGCTTGACTATATTATTTTTTTATTTTTTTTTGTGACTTGTTTTGTAATCTGGGGTTTGTTTTGTTTTTTGCAGTGGGCAGCAAGATTTGTACCGTTTATTCCTGATCGTGTTCTGGATACCATTGTTGAAAGATGTTTGTGAATATTGATTTTATTTGACGAGGGAAATCTTCTCATTAACTAATGAACTTGTTTTCATGAGTTTGACACAATATCTTTTGTTTTCGGTATGTCATTGTTTTTAACCAAATAAAAGAGTTTATTTTATCAAGCCAGTCAACACCATTGTTCAAATTGATCTTGATAACCTTTAATTAATTTGTTATTTTAAACCACACAATTCATATTATTCTGTTAGAGCTTAGATATGAATTACTTTTCCTCATCTTATGACTGTAAGCAAAAATATATTTTTTTTTATTTCATTATAATCAATGTTAGCATGATTAATGCCAAAGCCAAGGTAGACTTCAAATAAAAGACCAAAAAGGAACGTGTGCCCATCTCAAGTACCGCTCCTCTCTGCTGATCATTTGAAGTTATAAAAATAAAGTGCCGTTCGTTCGTTTCTAGAGTTTTACGTCCACTTCCACCTAAGGTGATATCGTAGACAAATAAAGTGCGTCTTCTGTGGCTGACGCAAAATATTTACCATGGTGGAAACATAGGATAGCATCGGTTAATCGTATAAAATGTCCGACACGTGAATAAAATACACAGTGTATCATTTGCTAAGTTTATTATCAGACCCTTATCAAACCTTGTTATAAAGCTATTTGCTTCTGCCAATCAATCAGAAAGCTTATTGAAGTCTATAGGGAGCAAAATGAAAGCGCCGGTGTTTAGTTTTTGTCGTATGGATATTCATTTATGTCAAATATGTAATATTCTTATACAACAGCGAGTTGATTTGTCAGGCATTGCATACAATTATTATTTTTAATGAAATCTATAAGCACATAATATCCGGTTAGTCGCAAAAGACATAGGCTGAATTATGGGATGGCGGCATTTATGTGATCAATTTTATATTCAGTTTTATCGTACCCTTATGAATTCAAACTAAATAGTCTACCAATTGAATTTGTTGGCAACTGGAGTGGGGGGGGGGGGGGGGCTCAGTGGGTGAGACGCTGGCTCGCTAACATAGAGGTACAGTTTTGGCTCTCAGCGTTGGCCTAGAAATTTCAGTGATGTAGGCAAGGAACAGTGGGGTCCTTGATCACAAATGCTTGGCCTATTTACTGATGAATATTCAGCTACGAGTAATATACTATGCAGCAAAAATGAAATGAAATGAAATGGAGTTTAACGTCCTAACTATGCAGCAAAAGCAACGTCAAGTTTGTATGTTACTCTGAATAGACGCATTGCATAAAACTTGCCAATTGTGTTTATTGTATATTTGTGATCACATCTCCAACTTTACCTGAGCAATAAGGTTCCTTCCCAAATACGGAAAGCTGTTCTCAAAAACGCAACCTGACTTCTGAGATGGTAATGTGTACTCCATGATTTTGCACGTGCAGTTCACCGGGGCCAGCCCTATAAAATGCACTCCCATACCTAGTTGAATGATTCACACTTCAACGTCAGCAGCATGCCACGACTCACGACAGCTCAGAGGAACCAGGCGCTTGGAAGACTCGTCGCTGGCCCCACTGCCCAAGCCGTTGCCAATCACTTCCATGTCAATGTTCAGTCCTGACTTCTGAGATGGTAATGTGTACTCCATGATTTTGCACGGGCTGTTCACCGGGGCCAGCCCTATAAAATGCACTCCCATACCTAGTTGAATCATTCACACTTCAACGTCAGCAGCATGCCACGACTCACGACAGCTCAGAGGAACCAGGCGCTTGGAAGACTCGACGCTGGCCACACTGCCCAAGCCGTTGCCAATCACTTCCATGTCAATGTTCAGACCATCTAAATGTTTCAGCAACGCTTTCGGGCCACCAACACCACGGATGATCGCCCCCGAACTGGTAGACCAAGGGTTACCACAAAGCGACAAGACCGCCATGTTGTGCGACAGCACGTGCAGAATCCCTTCACACAGGCATCTCAGACAGCACGTCAGACACTGGGAACACACGGAAGACCCATCAGCAGGGGCTGATTGGGGCCGGGAACCGGCCCGGGCTCCCGTGTCGGATCGGCCCCTTTTACTGACCGCGGAGCCCGGACGAGGGGTCCGGGGGCTCTCCCCCTTGGCATATCTGATTATAATCTCTGTCAAATAATATATTTCATAAATCGCTTAATTTAGGCCAAAACCCCGACCTGCAAGTAATTTACAACCACCAACCTGTGAAATTATCATATCATCATATTATTAATTAACGTATTATCATTGTATCGTCAAGAGTCAAGAGTCAAGAGAATTTAATTGGTTAGAAAATGGGACTAGTTGAGAAAATTTTGACCATTTGATTAACCAGTTAGAAATATTGAATAAGTAGGAATATTTTCATTGAAAAATGTCCAATTTTGTTGCCGGGAGCGCTAGTTGATTCCTCCTGTGATGGAAGGCCACGAGACACATTGGTACAGGTAAATTATTTTAACTTGACTCCGAACTTGAACATTTGACACACTACATATTGATTAATGAACATAGCATTAGTTCAGATAATGAATATTCGAGTATAAGGCCACACAAATTTAATTATGAGAATTGTGTTACCCTCGACAGACCAGCTATCATCAAATTTTGCTGAGGCCTTAAAATAGAATTTTTGGGGGAGTTACGAACCATCGGCAGATGTTTCCGGCGTATCCCCACAAACAGGGTGCAGGTGACTTAATAATTAGTAAATTTGCGGGCGACAGTGTCGGGTGAATCCGATGAAATTTTCGGATGAAATTCGGAATCCCCATTGCAGGATTCCGAATTCCGGCCCACACCCAGCACACCCGGCCCAGAAAGTCTATTATACCAGCCCATTCTAGACTCCAGTGATGGCATGGCGGCCCGTTAAAGCCACCGACCACATACAACATGATCATCATCGCTCCATAGCCGGTCCAATACCCCCCCCCCCCATACAATGTTCAGCAGAAAAAGGTTTTTTAGACGAATTGGACAAAATTATTTTTTTCATTTTTTGTCCGACCGGCCCTCCCCGATCGCCCGATGGCCAATCCGCCCCTGCCCATCAGTACCGAAACAGTTCACCGACGTCTCACCAGAGAGGACATCCATTGCCGTGGACCGCTCCTCACCCCCGGCCATCGACGTGAACGTCTACACTTTGCCCAACAACATCAGAACTGGCGACACCGGAGAACTGTTCTGTTCACAGGTGAGAGTCGGTATTGCGTATCAACTACAGGACCAGAATATGGCATCGACGTGGCCAGCGTTATTCTGACCAATGTGTAATGGAACGAGACACATGGGGAGGTCCAAGCATAATGGTTTGGGTGGAATCCTATGGTGTCCTGTGCTGTTCCACAATCTTGGTCCAGGGAGAGGAGGCGGCATCACAGCTACATCGACCAAGCTTTAAGACCTCAGGTCATACCACATTCGCACGTTTTCGAAACAATGTTTTCCAGCATGACGACGCCCGTCCCCGCACCGCCAGAGTTACTCGGGACTTTCTACAGCAGAACGGTGTCAACGTTATGCACTGACCAGCCCTTAGTCCGGACTTAAACCCAATTGAACATCTTTAGGATGAAATTCAGAGGAGACTCAATAACGTCATACCGAGACCAAACACAGCCGATGGATTGCGCCAGGCTTTTCTGAGAGTGTGATTCCAGGTGTCAATGGTGTTCATCAATCGTTAGGTCCACTCCATGTACAGACGCTGCGCTGCTGTTACGGTTTTCTTTGGGTTTTTTTTACTTTGCTGTTTAGTATATATTTGTTTAAAACCAATTACAAAGTCATGTGAATTGTAATTCTGCAGGCTGAACGTGATCTTCATTCCTTTGTCATCAACAACAAAAATAATTCCAAACATGTAGCCTATCCAGATCGAATTCCAGGCCTGTTAAGCCCCTTTGTAATTTTGTTTTTTCGTAAATGAAATGGGGTTTAATGTCCTACTGTTCTGCTCCGACTGGGCTTATGAAGACAGGCATACGCCATATAGTGTCCCATGAGGGAAATTTTGCCCGGGCAGCGGCACTATGGCCTACTGTTATATCGAATTCCAGCTGCCAAGAGATCTTTAACGATCCACGTGGAGGAGACAGAAGTAATTGTAAGAAACAAATTTGACTTTATTTATAGGGCTACCAAAATCAAGTATAATAATTGTTTAAAATGTGTACGTAGAGAATTAATAAAAAAAAAAGGTACTTAATGCACAGACTTTGTCCATTTTTCTCACTTTCTCGTATTCCCTTGACAGTCAATTCTCTTTTTGAAATATCAGATTCGAACAGATATTCTCCCACAGTCTAATATAACACCTTTACGTCTTCAAAGGAATTATCAGTGAGCTGAAAATCGACCATGTATTTGTTATCACTGTCTACTTTAGTCAGTTATATAGTCTTCAAAAAAAGTAGGGGATATTCAGAAACAATACAAAACTGCTGAAATGCACTGCTGTTTTTATTAGAGGTAACACGTGTATTTTAATAACAGGTCAATTGCCTACACATGAACATAAACAGTTCATATGGGCGGCTTATCGGACGGTCCCATTTCATTCGCAAAGAGATACGCTGTCAAAAGCGAAAATGGACGTTTTTGATATTTGTCTTAATAATGAGTAATTGCTCCACCAATCCTCAAGACATTCAGCAATTCGTCGTGGCATGCTCCTAATCAACCGTCCAATAACGATTTTAGGGAAATCTGACCCACTCCTCTTGTAGTGCCACGGCTAATTCTTGCATGTTTTGTCGGTTGACGTTGACGTCGACGAACACGTCTCCCGATCAAATTAAATGTAACACATTAAAGCAAAGATAGGCTAAACAGTAAATCTTATGCAAGAACCTACAGGAAAGCAAACATGGATAGGATAAACCAGCAAGCGGCATTTTTCATCAACCCTTCCTTGTGGAGGTGTCAAATTTGACAATGAATCCCTCCCACGTGTATGGCGCTATTGCGTGTCGCACTTGCAGCTCAGTGGTTCTGTTGGGGCGATAAGTTCTTCATCTGTGAACATACTCTCAAAGCATGTCAAGTGTCCAGGACTATTTATCATATCACAACCAGCATAGGTATTTGCATTTCAATATCCCCTACTTTTTTGAAGAGTATATATGGATAACTTGTGTCTCCTTTTTCTTCCGGTTTCTTTTTCTGTGTTTAAATTATTTTTGGAATGTGTTTAACCATTTCTATCTCATATGTAATATTGGTGGACACCAAAGTTGTCCTTTAAGTAAACCTTACACTCATTTAAGTTAATTCTGATTATGTAATATAAGCTGAACCTTAAAACATTTTGTAGTTTTGGGTTTTTTTTATTCGTTTCAACCAAGCTATTTGGAGGCATTGCTAATGCTATGCTCAATTTATATAAAATAAATACCATTGGATTAATAATGAATCAGCTGTTTTAAATTATATAAAGTAAAATTACATTGGAAAGGTTTGAAGGATTGAATTTAGACCAAGTTAGTAAGAAACATGTTCGCAAATTGTGTAAAAAGTATTAATGCGAAGGTTGGGAAACCTCTGGTCACAATTTTTATTTGACAAAAGGGATCAAATTTGCAATTTCATAGCAGTTTTGGGTAATACTGATGATATTACAGCGGGGGGGATAGGGGGTAAAGTGTCTTTCTGCAGAGCAATCATTGTGTCGGAAATGAGATTTTTACCCCAGTCAACATCAAATCCCGTAGGAAAAAAAAATCTAAATGGTCAACCCCCTACAAAATTATGATGAGGAGATTGCCAAATGTGGTCCTATAAAGATTGGAACCAACGTAATGTTGAGCAAAATGCTACAGCCTGTGATGTTACAGCCATTTAACATTGAAATCAATGGCCAAAAATTGCTAGTCTGAACCCTTATGGTAAAAGAAGTTCTCTCCCTTTTTGGAAAATATCAATAATTATTCATAACAGTATTTTGCGATAAACTGAAAAGAATTTAACTACATAAGGGCCTGTATAAGTTAGGATTTGAGACTAAAGTTCTAACAAATATTTAACCTGAAACATAGCATCTACAGATATTTAGTTTTCTCACTAAAATAGATATATGGCCAAAACTAAATAATACTGTAATGGGAGTGACAATATTGTAATGAAGAGATCAAAAAATCAAATGGAGTTTAATGTCTTACTGTTCTGCACCAACCCATATAAAGAAGATCAGCACGTCATACATTATAGTTGGGAGGGGGGGGGGTCATTGTACGTGTACAGCTAGAATGCAAGTGTCATCATCAGTCTGCAAGAGAGCCGCGGTGACTCAGTAAAGAGCTGACTCACTTACCGGCTGGCATGGTTTCCCATTGTCCATGGATCTCTAATCAGGAGGTTCGTGGTTTGATCCCTGTGTTGACCTAGACAGTTCCCCAAACTTTCCAGCGTTGTTTCCCCCTTGACAGTGGTGCAGGAAAGGGGAGGGGACTGGGCTGTGATGGACAGCGTCTAGTTATTCGGATGGAACATAAAACTGAGTTCCCGTGCACGTGTTGGCGTGCACGTAAAAGAACTTTAAATGCGAAATAAAGAGTAGACCGTAACGTTGCTGTTTGGGCCAAATTCCCCCTTTTGCGTAATGTTTAACGGGCGTATGTACATCTTCATTATCCCGGTTGATACTGAACAGTTAGGCATTAAACTCCCATTTGATTTTTTTGTCTCTTCATTACAATTGCCACTCCCTTACCACCAATTCGGCCGTGGCCCAACACCTACAATCCAACCAAGGACACGGAATAAAATCGTATACAACTCTGACAGCCAACCTTCCTGTAGAAAAGGCCCGAAAACTGATTGAGGCGATATACATCAAACGAAACAGCCCAGACCTGAAACCGCGACACAGGGATATTCCTGCCTAGTGCTTATGATGGGTTTATTAAATAACTTGATATTATGTTCGTTATCACTGTGGAATAAAAGGCTTTTAATAATTATTATTAAGATAATTTTATTCTTTCTAAGTAATATTTTCCTTGTTATAATATATCAACTTCGTCATTTTTTAAAGATTTGTTACAAAAATAGGGTTTATTTTAGTCTTAATTGCACATATAATTTACATTCTGTGGGTAGTATTGTATCTATCATCATAGTTACTTAATTGATTAAGCTTACTTTATGGCTTCACTTGACCCCAGTTAATTAGTCTTTGTAGAATATCCCCTCCTTTGATCTTGTTGTTGTCCTGTGTGGTTTCAGGAATTGTTGTTATAGTTTTCTGTTTTTTCTATCCGCTCTGATGACGCCAAACACCAGTCAGCTGGGCTTCCTGTTTTAACTTCATTATGACAAAGGGAGAAGATGACCCGCCCTCTCTTCTCACGACAGCGAATTTATAAGTGTGTTTTAAGAAACTTTTGATATCCGAGGACTTTTTTATTTTGTGTTTTTAACCATTTTCAAGTATGAAGAATTTAATTAAATCAACCTGTCCATAATATCATATTTATTGTATTGGACGTTAAATCTGTAATAAACAACAACAACAACAACATTTATACACTGAAAAAAAACTTGTGTTGTATCTCAACACAAGTACTTGTGTGAAAATTATTCTACACAAAACTTGCGTTGTTTCGCATTGCATTAACACAAACTTGTGTTCTTTTTAATACATTAACACATATCTTGTGTTTTTTCATATAATTAACACAAGTAATGTGTACCGTCAACAAATATATTTTTTTTTAAATTTGAACTCCATACAAAGTCTTAATCCGGGGGTCCACAAGTATAATAAGAAAAGTATTTTTTAGTCAGACAATATAGCCAGACAGACTTGAATGCTAATTGGTGTTAAGATGTCTGTAGTTAAAATAAAGTTGTTGATTTTTTATGGGCCCAATAAACTGGTAGATCAAAGGCCTGTTGAGCGCTCATGCTCGGTGTGATTTTAACAATTGACTCCAAATGCGTTGACAAGAAAATAAGTAAAACTATTATTTAGTGTGATTGGTTGATAAAATCAACGTAGCTTACTATAGGCCCCATTTTGTCTGCGATATCATCTCGGTGGAAGCGGACATTAAATGAAGTGATTTCACACAATTAATTTAACATTTAACAACATCGTGCTGAAATGATTTTAGAGCAGTGATATGTTTGACAAATGTATAAGCTAATGGTCACAGAGAATACAAGACCGCAGGTTTGTGAATATTTATATATAAAAAAATAATACCATGTATGTAATTTAGCATCGATATTGTTTTTGTGTATAATATTAGTATTTCGTTTCCTTAAAAAAAAAACTCCAACAATTTAAACCGGAAGTTCATGTTTTTAATGGCGGGGTCAGGAAAAAAATTTCGGCATGTTATTATCAAATTAAATCTGTTCAATTTTTCTGAAATCGTGCTTAAATAACATTAGTTGTTCGGCGCTACGATGTTGTTCAAATGCTTTTACATTACAGAATCACATTATGATTAAACCAGAAACGACTCGACTCGAAACAGCAGGTAAGAATCTGTTTTTTGAAATTATATCTTGGGAAGTTGGATTGGCTTGGGAGACCCGATTAGCGGCCATTTTGATTCTTGTTTCATGATATTTTTATATTATAAAAATTTTGCCAAGAGTAGACATAAACGCGGGCACAGACTAGAAAAAATCTTTTTACTCTTTTGTGTTAGTTGAATTGTAATCTAATTTATGTTTAAAAAAACAACCTTAAATCAAATAAGCAGATATTTTCACCACACCCTCGGCCTCCGTTCAACTTCTGTGTGTAATTAGGCCCCTATTTGCCTGATTCAGTCACAGTTAATAAATAATGGAACTAGAATCAGTGTGATAGAATACATAACTCTTATTTATTAAAAGATATTTTAATACTGGATAACATATTTACAGGTACATAACAACATCATTTGGTTGGGTAAAGTTACGTCTAGCTATAGCTGCTTCCCCTCGGCCTCACAGGACCCCTCTGCCCTGTGTCGAGGGCAGGACCCTCTCCCGAGGTCCGGGAGACCTCTCAGCCTCTACGGGTCTCTCTTGTTCCTCCTTTGTACTTCTTCCTGCCTGCTTGTAAACTAGGTTTTTTATATCGGTTAAGGCCGTGTTGAATTGATTCCTTGTTTCTCCTGCCACCACTCAGGCAATCATGTGCGGTAGTGCGGTAAACACAACACAAAGTGGGTTTCAAAACACAAAGTGGTCTGGCATAATACCTTTATAGTCTGAGGGTTGTGTACCATTTTTAATAATATTATAAATAATCTAGTTATATTATTGGTTAGAATAAAAACACAGATAATATTTAATTAAATAAATTTAATAACAAACTAAAATTTGGTAACAAGTGGCTTCTTTGTTTAACTTTTTAAAAAATGAAATAACCATATTTTGATATAAATTTTCCGTATTCTTGTGTTAAAATACAATGGAAACATTCCAGTTAGACGATATTTGATTCGCTTGTTGAATTATAGATGGTTTCGATAATATCATCGACCGTGAAAGTGCTGGGAATAACCACCACAGTCGAGTCAAGTAAATTCGCGTACCGGTCGGCCTAATTTATTTATTGATGTTCAAGGAACTAATAGTGGTCCCGTTTGTTCGTTCGTTCGTTAAACTCCAGAAACGAACGAACGAGCGAACGGGGCCACTATTATTTCCTTGAACATCAATAAATTAGGCCGACCGGTACGCGAATTTACCTATGTCCCGGCATAGCTTACCATTTTGTAAGGCGTGCGTTATTTATTACACAAGATATGATTGGGTAATACTTGAATAATAATGACATGTGTTATAATTTAGGCAATGAAAATTTGATTATTCAGGTTCGCGGTTGAATATTAGCGATTGTCTTACAGTTTATAATATGCTTTCTCATTAGCCGAAATGACTGCTACACGCGCCATTTTGAGGAATTCATCCAATCATATACAGTGTAACTTATTCCATAGTATGCGGGCCCCTACATGTGTATTATCAACCGGATCCATTCACTTGATTTGATATTTGTTTATTCGGTGCAATGCCTATTTTCTGTCTTGTCCGCAGGGTTATCTTGTAGATTTTTGTTTTGCGTGTAGTGCGGCCCCCTGCACTTACTTATTTAGTTCGTAACGAGGAATAAACAACGAGAATTGAATTCTGATGTTTGGTAGAATTTTATTTAGATGTTATTAACGTAATTTTTTGAATATTTTTTTTGTGTTAAAAACGTAAGCGCACGATTTTCGGGGTCCTCGACCTAAGCGCGCGGGCGAGGAGAAACAAGGAATCAATTCAACACGGCCTAAGGCACGCCATAGTTAATACCATTCGTAATCAGGGGATCACGGTGGCTAAGTGGGTAAGGCGCTGGCTCGCTAGCCTGGAGGTCGGGTGTTCGATCCCTGCTTTGGCCGAGAAAGTTCATCCAGATTTTCCGGCGTGGTTCCCCCTTGTCAGTGATGCAGGACGGAGGGCCTGACAAGGACAGCTGTCTAGTCATTCGGATGAGACGAAAAACCGAGGTCCCGTGTACACATTGGCGTGCACGTAAAAGATCCCTTGACAGTTGGAATTCGATATAAGAGTAGGCCGTAGTGCCGCTGTCCGGGCAAAATATCCCTCATAGCACACTGTATGGCGTATGCCCGTCTTCATTAGCCCAGTTCGGAGCAAAACAGTAGGACGTTAAACCCCATTTCATTTCATTTCCATTAGTAATCAGGACAATGAAAAGTAATTATTAAGATTCACACATCTTACCTCAAGACAAAAGGTGTCAATACGTGTTAAGCCTGAATCTTATATATCATATAGACACTCCGAGTATACATGTTTGTACAATCCATTAAATCTTACATAATACTATTTCAACAACCTACACCTGATATATAGATTAAATCTTACAATTAATCTGTCACTTAATATATGTCTAAAATTGAGTTACAAATAAAATATGAATTAAGAATACAATATTGAAATTTAGATCCCAAATGATATTGTATTACATTCCTCCCTTAACCACATTTTTAAAATAGTGGAATATATAAAATAATATATGAAACGATTTTAAAACAATAATAGATTAAAGCATAATACAATATTGAAATTTAGATCACACAATAAAAGCAGATATTTTCAATGGTTAAAAAAAATGTTCAGTAGTCTACGGAGTAACGCCGGGGTAAATATAGTGTCGTAAAAGTTATATACAAGAAGCACAACATCGAAACTAAAAATATTCACAAAAGTATAAGTGTCACTGGTCCTAGATCCTAGATCAGTATATTCTATGAATAAAGGCACATCTACGTGGGAACACAGTACGCGGAAAAATCGTCACACAAATGAATGTCATATAAATGATAAATGAAATACACGAACATTATCACATTCACACGCGATCCAAATTAGGGAATCCACCATTTAAACATATATTTTCTACCATGTATGCATCACCATGTATGCACCTATTCTCCTCTATGTCAGCATAGTTATATTTTCCACCATGTATGCATCACCATGGATGCATATTCTTCTTCATGTCGGCATAATTATATTTTCCACCATATATGCATCACCATGTATGCATATATTCTTCATCATGTCAGCATATATTTCGTATGCTCTGCTTTGTCGAGGTATGGTGAATAGATAATTTCTCCATTCTCAAGCTCACTGTGGCTTGTGGCTTTTAGCCGTCACCATCTTCTTCAACACTCTATACTCGGTATCGTCACCTTCTTTGTTTATTTATTGGCCGCTATTATTCTTGTTGGTTAGTCTTTTTCCTTTCCATACCGCCTAGCCAACGGTGCTTAATGACATGTCGTGTCATGAGAAATATTTTAACTGCCATGCGTGCCCAAGTTTGATCATCTGCTTATTATATCATGGAGTGAACTCAATTAACTTTTAATCAAATTAGTAAGTGGAACAGCTTTTTTTTTAAATATTTACATTAGAATTGACATAAACCAAATTGAAAGTAGGAGGTCACATTTCTTTACCGCAGGCTAAATTAAAATAATTGATCTGAACACATTTCATTAATCTTAAATAAGATATTTTGGAAAGAACCTAACAAAATTAACAGTGGTTTTATCTCTATAATTCTTAAACAAAACACAAAACAATACATCACCTTCGCTCTTAATTCCGAGCAAAAACCCGCCGGGGTGAAACCAATTCCGCCGTATAGGAATTTCACATAAAAACTCTCCCGTAACATCTCGGGCTTCCCAATCGCATATTATTGGGGTTAACACAAATAAAATTTCTCTCTCACGTAACATACCGTGACATCCCGTAAATCCCGGGGTTAAACCAATCCCACCTTATAGGAATTGCACATAAAACTTTTCCCGTAACATATCGGGCATTATTGGGGTTAACACAATTAAAATCTCTCCCGTAAAACCCGGGGCAAAATATATATAGACAAAACAAATAAAAAAAAATATAAGAGATAAAACCGTTAATACCGCGTGAATGTTTATGAGTTATATCTCTCAATGAGGATACTCTTAACTCGATTCCAGTTAATTTAACATAAAACATTTCACTTCGAATTATAGGCATTTAATAGTTACTACTAATTTTAAGCCAAAATATGTGTTCAAAACAATTATAATTTACATATTATTAGTAATTTTCATACAAATAGTTGAGTACTGTTCCACTACTAGCAATATATTTAATTTTTGAATAAGATACAACAGATGAAAGATCATATTTCTTAACACTAGAAAATGGTTGAACTAATTGAGTTACTACATAATGTTTAAACGTGGGAGATAAACCGCTTATTTCGCCAGTTAAATTATTAAACATAACACTAATCATGAACCGTGGCCAAAATTTGGATCAGAAAAAGACTTACCTCTTAATACAATTCTTTTATCTTCTAGTGGTGAGGACTTCAAAAACATTGGTCTGGTCAAAACCTCAGGTTCGTCGATCATCGGCATCACTTAAGAGTATGTGATACAACCACAGGTTCAGGAATCACGGCACCACTTAAGAGTATGTAAGATATCATGACCTCAGGTTCGTCGGACACGGCACCACTTATGAGTATGTCTCCAAATCAATCTGGATATATCATAACCACAGGTTTGTCGGACACGGCACCACTTAAGAGTATGTGATACAACCACAGGTTCAGGAATCACGGCACCACTTAAGAGTATGTGATATATCATAACCTCAGGTTCGTCAGTCACGGCACCACTTAAGAGTATGTGATAGAATACATAACTCTTATTTATTAAAAGATATTTTAATACTGGATAACATATTTACAGGTACATAACAACATCATTTGGTTGGGTAAAGTTACGTCTAGCTATAGCTGCTTCCCCTCGGCCTCAAAGGACACCTCTGCCCGGTGTCGAGGGCAGACCCTCTCCCGAGGTCCGGGAGACCTCTCAGCCTCTACGGGTCTCTCTTGTCCCTCCTTTGTACTTCTTCCTGCCTGCTTGTAAACTAGGCTTTTTATATCGGTTAAGGCACGCCATAGTTAATACCATTAGTAATCAGAACAATGAAAAGTAATTATTAAGATTCACACATCTTACCTCAAGACAAAAGGTGTCAATACGTGTTAAGCCTGAATCTTATATCATATAGACACTCCGAGTATACATGTTTGTACAATCCATTAAATCTTACATAATACTATTTCAACAACCTACACCTGATATATAGATTAAATCTTACAATTAATCTGTCACTTAATATATGTCTAAAATTGAGTTACAAATAAAATATGAATTAAGAATACAATATTGAAATTTAGATCCCAAATGATATTGTATTACATCAGTCTGTGGAAGTTTCTCTATAGTTTCATTATTTTTTCCAGTCAGTGATGATATGTGACTCTTTCCACCTTCCAGCAATTATTGAGAATTTACCAAGGACTCCATTGGCATTGAATTGAAGAAAAACTGGTAAAAATTTCATTTAATTTTTCTATTTTCTAATTTTTTTTTTTACCAATGTCCTACAATGATTAGTGTATGTGAACATACAATCCCAAATAAAGTATTTATATGGCACTTACATGCAACAGAGAGAGAGAGAGAAATGACATAAACAAGGCCTTACATGCAGGCTACTTGTATTTGAAGAATCAAGAAGTTCAAGCTGTGCATATATGCATACCGGTAATCAACTACGACGACGATTAGCCTACTTCCGTTTCCACCCTTTCCCTGCACACTGTCTCATCATGTATTAAAAATTGGTATGTTGTGTAATATTAATTTTGCATGAAACTACATGTAGAGTTGTTGTAGGATGTTTCCTTATCTACTTAGGTCGTTTCGGGAAAAAGTACAGGTAAGGTTAAATTTAATATGAAAGGACCCAGAGATTAGAGAAGGTATGCTTAAATTTAATATGAATAATTCGCTTGGTGTAGGTGTATTTAGCAAACGGAGGAAACCGAATGACCCAGCGAAAAAACTCAAGAGATTGGACAGGCGACTCTACTCCTTGAAATCGAAACCATGCCACTTAACACAATGACAGACCCTGTGATTTCATGTGCATGTATTAACTACTAGACCATTCCCCTCAGCCCCACCCCATATTGAATAAAAGTATGGCTTATTTCAAATATGATATTTACATATAAAGAAAGTAGAAAGACTTCAATCTTACTAGAAAAATACTAAATTACCTGAAATGAAATGGGGTTTAAAGACAACGTCCTACTGTTTGTCTGGGCAGCGACACTATGGCCTACTCTCATACCGAATTCAAACTGCCAAGAGAACTTTTATGTGTACGCCAATGTACATTGGGTTTCAGGTTAAACCACTCTGCAAAATCAAGATGAGCTTTCTCGGTCAACCCCAAGAGATAACCTGTGGCCTCATGCTAGTGTGCCAGCACCTAACTCACTCAGTCACCATGGCCATCTTCTAATTACTGCGACAGTGAAACCATGTGACAAACAATGATTATTAAAATAGATTTTTACGGCTTAGGTAGTTCCTTGGGATTAAAACTTTTGATATATATAGATACATTAGTTTCAATTTCATATCACACAGTTTGTATATATGGTAAGGTAGCTTTAATCATAAATTACATATCATGTATTTTTTTTTCAGTTTCAATATTGGATGTATATGCAAATCACCCAGAAAAAGATCATTTAACAAAAGAAATTATAAAAGAAAAAAATGGAAGAAGAAATGGCTGAAAAAAATGATGATAGAGCAGCTTTTTCTTGGTGGGTAACTATTCAATTCTAATAGAAAAGATTGTTCTTATGCTATTTTGAAATCTAAAATTCAGTTTAGTATAGTAAAACTGTACACATACATGTATGAGCACATACAGAATCTTAGTAAGATATGACTGTCTCATCTGTGGCAAAGCAAACAAACACATGAAACAAAACAAATGTAATTGAATTAACATTTTTTGACTTAATCAAAACTGTCGAGTCAATTTAAGCCAACTAATACATTGCATATTTTTTTTCAGTTACCCACCTCAGAAGATCAAGACAGTTGGAAAGGGCTATTGATTGGCGTACAAGTACTTCAAATAAAGTACACCTCTATGGTACCTACAACTAAACAATAACCTACAAATAACATATTACGTTAAATATTGTTTTATATAATTAATTAATCACCCGATGTTTTTATAAGTCAAAATCCAGTAGGCCTACGTCGAATCCATTCACTTGATTTGACATGCTTATTGTTTGAAATATATGTGTAGCCTATATTGTGTGTTGTGTCCACGGGTTTGTATTGTGTAATTGTTTATGTGTGATGCGGTCCTCCTGCTCTTACTATTCTCTCAGCTAACCGAAGAACTCCAAATGCATCAGCCGCTTATATCAACGTAGATTTATGACGTCGTGTGCCCATAGTCCCTCTCAGGAAGCATTAATCTTAGTCCAGACGATAAAAACAGATGAGTTATGACGTCATCTTCGGCCGATCTCAGAAACACGCCCCTTTCCTTATATGGTCAGTTAGATTGGAGAAATTTGTGATAGTCGAAAATGCAATGGAGAAATTGTGATAGTCGAAAATGCAATGGAGAAAATCTGATAGTTGAAAATGTAAAGATTTACAGTGAATTTGCAAAGGCGAAAAGTAGAGAGGGAAAAAACAAAACTAGATTTTTAGTTTGTTAACTTTTGTCGAGCAATTTTGTTTTATGGTAAATATCCATTAAAATGTATTAAGTGTTATATGATTTTTACATGTGAAAAATCTCGAAAATGGCCATTTTTACCATTTAGACTCTGATAATTTTGCAATTTTAACCATGATATTTTCTCTTAATATGGCAACGATTCGGCTCCATACTCATGACCCCAATTATTTTAAAACCGTAAGCTCTATTGAGTTAAGAAAGTTTTTGACAAGAGAACAGAACTCCTGAAAATAAGGGTACAGAATTGTCGAAGATTGATAAGGGTCGCCCTCATAAATTCAATGCTTCACGCCCAATTTGAATATATGTTAAAATGTATAGCCTCTATGCATTTAAGGGTGTGTGTGTGTGTGGTGGGTGTGGGTGTGTGTGTTTGTGCTTATTTGTCTCTGTTGTATGCAATCCCAATTCTTACCAGCAGCAGACATTTCATTTTAATGTTAAATCAATATTACCTGTAAAACAGATGTCCCCAACATAACATATTAACACAATCTCATTTTCCGTACTTGATGTATGGCGACTTATTCAATTTCTGTGATAATAACTGTTGACTGTCAGTAAATATACAATAAGTAGATGTGTGCACAAGTACATGGGGACAGGAAAGCCCTTATTATGAGCTTATGTGATTTTCACAATTTAGGATTTTCTATTTTGTTCTTACTTTTTTTCAAAATTTTCTTTATCTTCTTTGGTGTTAAATCATGTCATATTTACTACCAAACATGTTTGTATTTAAAAAAATGTCCCGCTGGTGTATAATAAAGGCCAAAGGTGAGACCCGTTTCTTTGACAATGTTTTTATACCTCTGACATTATTTACTTTAAAATCATAAATAAATTTGTCTGATCTTACAATTCAGCAACTTCGTTCCATTCGATGTGTTTTCCTTTCATTGAAAACGCACATTTGTGCTAAGTCTGTGTGTTTGCCATAAATCACTTGCGATTTGTTTACCATTTCTGAAAATTTTAAATAAAATTATCTTATCTTAATGATTGATACGGATGGAAATTATTGATCAATTTTTGGCGCACAGTGTAAAGTAAAGGGTAAAAATTCATTTATTCCTGCAGCCAATATTTCTAACTTGCTTAGAAACACAATTCCGCTACAAAGCCCTTCCTAATAAACAAACTATACATTTTTGGAAAGCTTATAACACCAGGAACGCATATCCAGAGAGTTCCAAGCAAAATGTTTGCACCAACTCGATTTAAGGGCAGATAAAATGTGATAATTTTCAAGTAAATGCTATATTTATACTAACAATTGTAAAGTTGACATAAAATTAAATATAAGCGAAAACACCCAATGCCTTCATCCTCGGCAAAGACTATGCTATTAGTTAAATTTTGATTTAAACCAAAATGCAGAAAACATAATGGACAAGGGAACATTATAATTTTGGAGATCTGTTAGGATACAGACCACTATTAAATTTCACCATCTTGGTACCCACAAATTGTAGTTCGTCTATTTATAGCAATTCTCTCTCTGTGTCTTTTGTCCCCTTTTGCATGCCCATCTGTGGCAAAGCAAACAAACACATGAAACAAAACAAATGTAATTGAATTAACATTTTTTGACTTAATCAAAACTGTCGAGTCAATTTAAGCCAACTAATACATTGCATATTTTTTTTCAGTTACCCACCTCAGAAGATCAAGACAGTTGGAAAGGGCTATTGATTGGCGTACAAGTACTTCAAATAAAGTACACCTCTATGGTACCTTCCATTAAACAATAACCTACAAATAACATATTACGTTAAATATTGTTTTATATAATTAATTAATCACCCGATGTTTTTATAAGTCAAAATCCAGTAGGCCTACGTCGAATCCATTCACTTGATTTGACATGCTTATTGTTTGAAATATATGTGTAGCCTATATTGTGTGTTGTGTCCACGGGCTTGTATTGTGTAATTGTTTATGTGTGATGCTGTCCTCCTGCTCTTACTATTCTCTCAGCTAACCGAAGAACTCCAAATGCATCAGCCGCTTATATCAACGTAGATTTATGACGTCGTGTGCCCATAGTCCCTCTCAGGAAGCATTAATCTTAGTCCAGACGATAAAAACAGATGAGTTATGACGTCATCTTCGGCCGATCTCAGAAACACGCCCCTTTCCTTATATGGTCAGTTAGATTGGAGAAATTTGTGATAGTCGAAAATGCAATGGAGAAATTGTGATAGTCGAAAATGCAATGGAGAAAATCTGATAGTTGAAAATGTAAAGATTTACAGTGAATTTGCAAAGGCGAAAAGTAGAGAGGGAAAAAACAAAACTAGATTTTTAGTTTGTTAACTTTTGTCGAGCAATTTTGTTTTATGGTAAATATCCATTAAAATGTATTAAGTGTTATATGATTTTTACATGTGAAAAATCTCGAAAATGGCCATTTTTACCATTTTGACTCTGATAATTTTGCAATTTTAACCATGATATTTTCTCTTAATATGGCAACGATTCGGCTCCATACTCATGACCCTAATTATTTTAAAACCGTAAGCTCTATTGAGTTAAGAAAGTTTTTGACAAGAGAACAGAACTCCTGAAAATAAGGGTACAGAATTGTCGAAGATTGATAAGGGTCGCCCTCTTAAATTCAATGCTTCACGCCCAATTTGAATATATGTTAAAATGTATAGCCTCTATGCATTTAAGGGTGTGTGTGTGTGTGGTGGGTGTGGGTGTGTGTGTTTGTGCTTATTTGTCTCTGTTGTATGCAATCCCAATTCTTACCAGCAGCAGACATTTCATTTTAATGTTAAATCAATATTACCTGTAAAACAGATGTCCCCAACATAACATATTAACACAATCTCATTTTCTGTACTTGATGTATGGCGACTTATTCAATTTCTGTGATAATTACTGTTGACTGTCAGTAAATATACAATAAGTAGATGTGTGCACAAGTACATGGGGACAGGAAAGCCCTTATTATGAGCTTATGTGATTTTCACAATTTAGGATTTTCTATTTTGTTCTTACTTTTTTTCAAAATTTTCTTTATCTTCTTTGGTGTTAAATCATGTCATATTTACTACCAAACATGTTTGTATTTAAAAAAATGTCCCACTGGTGTATAATAAAGGCCAAAGGTGAGACCCGTTTCTTTGACAATGTTTTTATACCTCTGACATTATTTACTTTAAAATCATAAATAAATTTGTCTGATATTACAATTCAGCGACTTTGTTCCATTCGATATATTTTCCTTTCATTGAAAACGCACATTTGTGCTAAGTCTGTGTGTTTGCCATAAATCACTTGTGATTTGTTTACCATTTCTGAAAATTTTAAATAAAATTATCTTATCTTAATGATTAATACGGATGGAAATTATTGATAATTTTTGGCGCACAGTGTAAAGTAAAGATCTGTTAGGATACAGACCACTATTAAATTTCACCATCTTGGTACCCACAAATTGTAGTTCGTCTATTTATAGCAATTCTCTCTCTGTGTCTTTTGTCCCCTTTTGCATGCCCATTTTTGTTGATTTAATGTCTTTGCACTAAAATTTGTATGAGCTTGACTACCAAAATTCTGAGATACACAAACTTTGCCATAAATCACTTGTGATTTGTTTACCATTTCTGAAAATTTTAAATAAAATTATCTTATCTTAATGATTGATACGGATGGAAATTATTGATCAATTTTTGGCGCACAGTGTAAAGTAAAGGGTAAAAATTCATTTATTCCTGCAGCCAATATTTCTAACTTGCTTAGAAACACAATTCCGCTACAAAGCCCTTCCTAATAAACAAACTATACATTTTTGGAAAGCTTATAACACCAGAGAGTTCCAAGCAAAATGTTTGCACCAACTCGATTTAAGGGCAGATAAAATGTGATAATTTTCAAGTAAATGCTATATTTATACTAACAATTGTAAAGTTGACATAAAATTAAATATAAGCGAAAACACCCAATGCCTTCATCCTCGGCAAAGACTATGCTATTAGTTAAATTTTGATTTAAACCAAAATGCAGAAAACATAATGGACAAGGGAACATTATAATTTTGGAGAACTGTTAGGATACAGACCACTATTAAATTTCACCATCTTGGTACCCACAAATTGTAGTTCGTCTATTTATGGGCATGCAAAAGGGGACAAAAGACACAGAGAGAGAATTGCTATAAATAGACGAACTACAATTTGTGGGTACCAAGATGGTGAAATTTAATAGTGGTCTGTATCCTAACAGATCTTTACTTTACACTGTGCGCCAAAAATTATCAATAATTTCCATCCGTATTAATCATTAAGATAAGATAATTTTATTTAAAATTTTCAGAAATGGTAAACAAATCACAAGTGATTTATGGCAAACACACAGACTTAGCACAAATGTGCGTTTTCAATGAAAGGAAAATATATCGAATGGAACAAAGTCGCTGAATTGTAAGATCAGACAAATTTATTTATGATTTTAAAGTAAATAATGTCAGAGGTATAAAAACATTGTCAAAGAAACGGGTCTCACCTTTCGCCTTTATTATACACCAGTGGGACATTTTTTTAAATACAAACATGTTTGGTAGTAAATATGACATGATTTAACACCAAAGAAGATAAAGAAAATTTTGAAAAAAAGTAAGAACAAAATAGAAAATCCTAAATTGTGAAAATCACATAAGCTCATAATAAGGGCTTTCCTGTCCCCATGTACTTGTGCACACATCTACTTATTGTATATTTACTGACAGTCAACAGTAATTATCACAGAAATTGAATAAGTCGCCATACATCAAGTACGGAAAATGAGATTGTGTTAATATGTTATGTTGGGGACATCTGTTTTACAGGTAATATTGATTTAACATTAAAATGAAATGTCTGCTGCTGGTAAGAATTGGGATTGCATACAACAGAGACAAATAAGCACAAACACACACACCCACACCCACCACACACACACACACCCTTAAATGCATAGAGGCTATACATTTTAACATATATTCAAATTGGGCGTGAAGCATTGAATTTAAGAGGGCGACCCTTATCAATCTTCGACAATTCTGTACCCTTATTTTCAGGAGTTCTGTTCTCTTGTCAAAAACTTTCTTAACTCAATAGAGCTTACGGTTTTAAAATAATTAGGGTCATGAGTATGGAGCCGAATCGTTGCCATATTAAGAGAAAATATCATGGTTAAAATTGCAAAATTATCAGAGTCAAAATGGTAAAAATGGCCATTTTCGAGATTTTTCACATGTAAAAATCATATAACACTTAATACATTTTAATGGATATTTACCATAAAACAAAATTGCTCGACAAAAGTTAACAAACTAAAAATCTAGTTTTGTTTTTTCCCTCTCTACTTTTCGCCTTTGCAAATTCACTGTAAATCTTTACATTTTCAACTATCAGATTTTCTCCATTGCATTTTCGACTATCACAATTTCTCCATTGCATTTTCGACTATCACAAATTTCTCCAATCTAACTGACCATATAAGGAAAGGGGCGTGTTTCTGAGATCGGCCGAAGATGACGTCATAACTCATCTGTTTTTATCGTCTGGACTAAGATTAATGCTTCCTGAGAGGGACTATGGGCACACGACGTCATAAATCTACGTTGATATAAGCGGCTGATGCATTTGGAGTTCTTCGGTTAGCTGAGAGAATAGTAAGAGCAGGAGGACAGCATCACACATAAACAATTACACAATACAAGCCCGTGGACACAACACACAATATAGGCTACACATATATTTCAAACAATAAGCATGTCAAATCAAGTGAATGGATTCGACGTAGGCCTACTGGATTTTGACTTATAAAAACATCGGGTGATTAATTAATTATATAAAACAATATTTAACGTAATATGTTATTTGTAGGTTATTGTTTAGTTGTAGGTACCATAGAGGTGTACTTTATTTGAAGTACTTGTACGCCAACATCAAAAGATGACGTCACATCTGTATTTTTATTGAAGACCACATAAAACTTATTAGGCCTACATACTGGTTACCGGATACTTGTTTTAAAAAAAAAATCCGCTTTGCAAAAAAATAAAATGCTAATGATTAAAATTAAATAACTATTACTAACATGTTACCACCGGACCGTCAATAATATAGGTTTTTTTAACTCTTGAGTCTTGTCGGAGAGGTACATATAGGCCTTGTATTTTAATGAATACACCTTTTGTTTCTAGTTGTATTTTAATTAATATAACTTTTGTTTCTAGTTTCGCATTATTTAACTCACACATTACAGATCTTTATCAACTAAATATTGTAACTGTTCTTGTGGAATATATAACTTTGGCGGATTAACTCTTCCTGGCGAAAGATGATACTCTCTACCATGCCCTATTTATCTTGTTTGCAATTTTTTACATCGTCTAATAACTGTAAAGCTTTTTTTTAAATTGATTAAGGCAGCCAGGCACCTCTTTTGTAGTTTCATCTTTTTTCAGATATAACGCCAGAAATTCGCTCACATCCATGTCGATGTGCTGTCAAAGATTCATCCGGTCTATTAAGACAATGGAGCCAACCTCAAGGTTCGATGACGTAACTGATTAAACAAAAAGTGGTTCGACATGACAATGAATTTATTTCATTTCTCCAAAAAAAAAAACAAAAAAAAATACTAAAATCGGACAATTCTTAAGAATAACCCAATGGAGTAGTAATTTTAGCCCAGACGATAAATACTGATGTCTTATGACATCAACTTCGGCTGTACCCAGAACCACACCCTCTGTCCGTTCGATTGGAGAAATTTTAGTGGTGGAAATTACAATGGAGAAATTCTGATAGTTGAAAAATACAAAGATGAAAAAGTTAGAGTGAATTTGCAAAGGCGAAAAGTAGAAAGTGTAAAAACATAACTAGATTTTTTTGGTTTGTTTTGATACTAATATAGTGATTGTGTGTTATGTGATATTTAAAAGTGAAAAATCTCGAAAATGACCATTTTTACCATTTTGACTATGATAATTTGTCAATTTTAACTACTATATTTTGTCTTAATATGGCAACGATTCGGTTCCATACTAGAGAGGACAAGCCTTATCGTCCAGGAGATGTTTGAAATTATAGATGTATATACATTTATTTAAATAACAGGTTATTAGCAGAATAAAAACAATCTTTCTTTTTTTGACGGACTATGCTGAACATGATTTTATCAAGATCTTTGAGGAAATAAATATTTTTAAACTTTAAATCCACATTAATTTTATCATGCTCTTAATACAATTCATTGTACCGGTCAATTATCAATCGATTGTAGCTCCTAATTCAAATGTTAATATTGTAACAGTTTTCCAGTTTGAAACGTCCGACGTTTCGTGGGGGTGTATGGTACTTTGCCTGGTAACCTACGTTTTGAAATGGAACACCATTGGCATTACATCTAATAGACAAATGTTGACTAAATCTGGGTTAATATTATTAATAACAGGGCTTACCTATAGATCATCGTTTAACAATCATCTGATTAAAATATTGAAAGCGATTGAATATACAAGTTTGGATTTACCTCCCTTTGCTAATTCATCAAAATTTCCCTGTTGGTTCGTTCTCTTCTCTGGAAAATTCTATTTTTTTCTGGCATCGATCAACCATAATATGCTAACGGACTACATCCGAGACATATCCAGTAAATTTCTAACAGACTTAAAGGATCATTATAGGTCCGCAGCCTAAATTTTTAGCATGTTATTCCGCTGCAAGGTTCTACCTACAAAACAAACTACATGTATACATTTTTGAGAGAAAGAGAGAGAGAGAGAGATGGGGTTTAACGTCCACTCGACAAAACTAGGTCATTTCAGGACTAACACATGGTTCAATTTTATTTCAATAATTCGCTTGCGCGTAGGGGTCTTTAGCAGTGGGAGGAAACCCCACGAGGTTGGACAGGCTACCGGGGAATCGAAACCCCACCAGTTGACTTAATGACAGACCGTATCATACAGCGCACGTGCTAACCATTCGGCCACCCCATACATTTTTTAACTCCAGGAATATAAATCCAGATAGATCCACTGTTTGCAATAACTTGAATTAGGGCTAGATGAAAATTGTGATAATTGTCAAGTAAATGCTATATTTAATATACTAACAATAATTGTGAAGATGACATAAAATTAAATATTGGCGGAAACACCCGATGCCTTCATCCAATGCAAAGAATATGCTACAAATACAAATTTTGGTTGCAGGCCTATTAGGTAAGATTAGATAAAGAGCTGACAGTTCTCGTTGTAATAGTTAAAAATTATACACTGAAAAAAAACTTGTGTTGGATCTCAACACAAGTACTTGTGTGAAAATTATTCTACACAAGTTATGTGTTGTTTTGCATTGCATTAACACAAACTTGTGTTCTTTTTAATGCATTAACACAAATCTTGTGTTTTTTCCATATAATTAACACAAGTAATGTGTTCCGTCAACAAATATTTTTTTTTTTTAAATTTGAACTCCATACAAAGTCTTAATCCGGGGGTCCACAAGTAAGAGAAAAGTATTTTTTACTCAGACAATATAGCCAGACAGACTTGAATGCTAATTGGTGTTAAGATGTCTGTAGTTAAAATAAAGTTGGGCCCAATAAACTGGTAGATCAAAGGCCTGTTGAGCGCTCATGCCCGGTGTGATTTTAACAATTGACTCCAAATGCGTTGACAAGAAAATAAGTGAATGTGATTGGTTGATAAAACCAACGTACTATAGGCTACATTTTGTCTGCGATATCATCTCGGTGGAAGCGGACATTAAATGAAGTGATTTCACACAATTAATTTAACATTTAACAACGTGCTGAAATGATTTTGGAGCAGTGATATGTTTGACAAATGTAAGTTAATGGTCAGATAGAATACAAGACCGCAGGTTTGTGAATATTTATATAAAAAAATAATACCATGTATGTAATTTAGCATCGATATTGTTTCTCTGTATAATATTAGTATTTCGTTTCCTTAAAAAAAACTCCAACAATTTAAACCGGAAGTTCATGTTTATAATATGGCGCGGTCAGGAAAAAAATTTCGGCATGTTATTATCAAATCTGTTCAATTTTTCTGAAATCATGCTTAATTAACATTAGTTGTTCGGCGCTACGATGTTGTTCAAATACTTACATTACAGAATCACATTATGATTAAAGCAGAAACGGCTCGATTTGAACCAGCAGGTAAGAATCTGTTTTGAAATTATATCTTGGGAGGTTGGAATGGCGTTGGAGACCCGATTGGCGGCCATTTTGATTCTTGTTTCATGATTTTTTTTATATTATAACAATTTTGCCAAGAGTAGACATAAACGCGGGCACAGACTAGAAAAAAATCTTTTTACACTTTTGTGTTAGTTAAATTGTAATCTAATTTATGTTTTAAAAAAACAACCTTAAATCTAATAAGCAGACGGAAGATATGGACGAACAACAAGAAGAAGTTATGGAGGCCCCAACAACTGAACCTATGGAAGTAGAAGAATCGTTTACAGCCGAAACCCGATACGATGTGCCAGTTCCGGTCATGGAGTCCTCCATCTCAGACGATGCCGACGTTAGTGTCTTCTGCGACGAAGAACCCGTAGTGGTGTATACGCAGGTAGAAGCTGGTACCTCCCGTGGCAAGTCCAAGTTGTTTGACAACCAAGGGTTTAGTTATACAATTAAGGTAGGGTGATTTATTTTACCTAGTTAACCTTGTTTTGAAATGTATTTCAGCTACAAAATGTAAAGATAATTAACTCGAGTTAACCTAGTTAACTCTATAATAATAAATGAATTTAATATATTTTAGACAGAGAAGAAAACTACGATTTGGAGGTGTTCCAAAAGAAGCGGACCAACACGATGTCCGGCAACAGTAATCCAAGATGGTGATACATACCAACCAGGCTTAAAGAACCATCTTCACCCAGCAGAACCCGGTATACAGACGGCTACCAAGATAAAAGTTACAGTAGGTTTAAAAATTATATATCAATTAAATTAAAAATTTATATATGTGTGTAAATAAATAAAATATAAATAAACCAATAATATATTTGTAGTTAAATATATTTTATCTTATCATTACAGGCAAAGCATGAAGCCAAAGGAAATGTTTTTACCAAGTCATGTTCCTCAATAGCGGAGAGAGTTTTATCCAGTGTCGGTTCTGCAGAAGAACCCATTCATAGCAGACCACCCATGGCAGCACTTGTAAGGTCGCTACAAAGAACCCGACAGACTCTGCGACCAAAAGATCCCACTGACGTGTCGTCAAGCGTAAGTACTCATGCAATTAAATACCCATGTATATAAGAATTTATTAACATGTAATTAAATGTACAATTTTATTTATTTATTAACATGTAATTAAATGTGCTTTTTTATTTATTTTTTGTTTTAGCTTGACGAAGATTTCATCGATCATAGTGCACCGGGATTTTATCAAAAAAGAGTAAAAGTTGGGGAAAGGCGCCATCACATTTTTTGTACTGATAGACAGATGCAACTACTCGCACGCGCAAAAACTTGGTATATGGATGCAACTTTTCGGGTGGTGAACAAGCCATGGTCTCAGCTGTTTTCCATCCACGCCTTCATTAAGACTGGAGAGACCACCCGACAGTTACCATTGGTGTTTTGTGTAATGTCGGGTAAAAGCCAAGACGACTATTATAAGGTAAATAGCACTTACTGATTGAATTACTATTAATAGTAAAAAAGGACTATTATTTGGGACCTTGAAATTGTCACAAATGGGTCGCACTAACAGCGACATTTGTTTCAGGCATATTTGTTTCATCGGTGACACGTCTGGTGTCATGTGAATGCAACGACAACAGCCTGGTTGATTGATTTGTTGATTGGAGTTCAGATGTCTACATTAAAATCGACCACTTTCAGGTTGCCGTATTCACGGCCAGGCAAGACCGACTTGAAATTTCTAGAAATTTTTCTGGGGGAGACAGGCCCCAACAACTCCCCAGACGGTGCGTTTCACGACTTTGGCGCAAGACGGTGACCTTGAAGAGACGTGGAAAACCATTTAATAGACATAGTAAAAGTCATATCTTACGAGATTATCGCTGGTCTTGTCAGAAAATGCTATTTTATATATGACCAGTTTGTGTTTGAAAAATTTAAAAAGAAATTATTTATTCTCCCACCATTAAAGCACACTAATTACGAAATATCGCTCTCAGAAACTTCATGGTTTCTTTTGCAATTTGTTTGGGGTAAGACGTTATATAAATAATATCAATCTGTCTACCACAAAAATTTAACAGATACAAATGCATGTTATTCCACAGGTAGACAGACAGGGCCTCCTTTGAAGGGACTCAGTGAAGGGAACGCGGTTGGTTTAGAGTTTGTCTGACCCCTTTGAATATTTGCGTCTCATCTCCAATGAAAACAATCATGTTGCTCTCATGCTGTTTTCAACCAGAATCAAACATATATCGTACCCGAGATTTGTTAGCATGTTCCACACAACCCAACATTTATCGGCACCGGGATTAAGGGTGTATATCTTTGTTTCTAACGCTTATTGGGAATACGCCACGGAAACTACAATAAAAACTTATTTACAAAAACATTCTAAAGAGTGAAAACTGACATATTTCAAGCTTTACTGTATTTAAAGAAATAATTTAAATCAGCCGGCTGAAACCCCGTCTCCGCTATTTGTTCAGTCATTCTTTAGGTATAGTGCCAGTTTCCACCGACAATGATATTGCAAACAAGTGTCCAATCTATAAAAGCATACATTCCTACAAAATGTTTCTTTAGTCAAGTGAAACAATAAATTCATAACTATGCGAGGGTGTGGTGAGTAAATTCGTGGTAACAAGTCTGAAAAGGCTAATGTGACATAGAACAAGGTCACCTTGATGTTGACAAATACGTAAGACGATATGAACATCAACTAAAAAGATATGTAATGTGATACAGCTACAAGGTGATATATGCATATATGCAGCATAGATAATTAAAACTTCTATTCAAGTTAAACCAACTGTAACTATTTATTTAAGTCTTACGTCGAGCTGAATACATTTTATGATTTATTGTCATCTATTGGTGGTTAACAGTGTAACTAAAAACTAAAATTGGATCTTATTATTGCCAATGATACAATGTACATGTAATAGCAAGTGTATTTATATTTTTTGTTCAGTCTGTACACAGTAACATATCTGAGAACCATATTATTATCATTTCTGCCCAAGGCTCCCTGTGCCTTATAGTTAGCAGTGATACAAGGCAATTACCAATTTTCCATGTTCTTGGCCTGAAGAAATAAAATAATAAAAGTCAAGTTTTTATTATTATGCAAGTGGAAAAATACAATTATTCATAGTATGATTTGAATAAATACAACTGATTTGAAGTTGGAATTATTATTTGTCTAAGATGACTGGGCATTTACAAATTGAAATAGCTACTCTTCATCAAGAAAATACATGAATATTTTTCCCAATTCACCTGGAATTTATTGTAGGTCTTTGTACGTGAAATAGCTTTATTTAACGTCCGCTACCACCGAAGTGATATTGCAGAAAATTAACAAATTCGGATTCCCTTTTAAAGGAAATTGACTGCACTATCGCTGGATTGTATTATATAGGTCATGTCAGTTTTTTTCAAAATGGCGCCCAGAACACAAAACAAACATTGCAATTCAAGGCGGACTGGTGTCGAGGCTGTATCCTAAGAATGATTTTTTGAATATTTAATCACACAGAAACACAAGTATGCACATGCAGTTATGATATAATATTAAATTAGCTTACCTCAAATACCTCGAAATATACTGTTTGGTCAGTTTGTCCGCCCGTCATATTTCTGTTAGTCACACATCCTTCGGCCAATTAAAATGGACGTATATTTTGTTTTAACCGAAACGAAAAATTTGCGTTATAAATAGTAAACGAGCTTGATTGACCGACCACTGCTAATGATTTTTCGTGAAACGGTATAACTGCAATCAACACACGGCCGCCATTCTCGATGATTGACAACTCACGTTTTTCCTCATCCACCAAAGAACCGTTAGGTTTCTTTGAACATACTGTAATAACATTGGGATTATCAGTTAATCAGCTTTAATTATCCCGCTTTGTTCGTTGCCATTTCTTATATTTTCCACAAAAAAACTTTGCCTTGTACGCACTAATTTATCAATTGGTATTGCCATCTACGACAAGCATGTCAACGTGCAGCTCACGGATTATCGTTAACAATTTCTAGGGGCTTGTAAAAAAAGATTGCATGTCGTGTAAATATTTATTTTGTTTTTTTTGTAGGTCATTTTCAAATAAATTCATCAGCATATTATTCGTTTTAAATAAATATAAAACTTTTATGAGAAACGATGATTATCAAAGAACCGTAAGTGCAACTAATGTTTTATCGTTTGGTTGAGCCTTTTACTAACCACGTGTTTCATGTTAATAAATATTTTCTTTCGTGTTTTGAATTGGCCTACTTCTAATAAATTATCCCGAGTCCCAAACGTCGTTAACCCGAGTCCCAAACGACGTATACCAAAGTCCCAAACGTCGTATACCCGAGTCCCAAATGTCGTGGTCATATTTTTTTGAGTCCCAAATGACGAGAGTCCCAAATGACATGTAATCCGTTGTTCAACCTCTGTGAGTCTGTGTAATATTTAATATTAGGCCCCATTTTTGCCTGATTCAGTCACAGTTAATAAATAATGGAACTAGAATCAGCCTGTGGAAGTTTCTCTGTAGTTTTATTATTTTTTCCAGTCAATGATGATATGTGACTCTTTCCACCTTCCAGCAATAATTATTGAGAATTTACCAAGGACGCCATTGGCATTGAATCGAAGAAAAACAGGTAAAAATTTCAATTAATTTTTATATTTTCTAATTTTTTTTTACCAATGTCCTACAATGATTAGTGTATGTGAACATACAATCCAAAATAAAGTATTTATATGGCACTTACATGCAACAGAGAGAGAGAGAGAGAGAGAGAGAGAGAGAGAGAGAAATGACATAAAAAAGGCCTTACATGTACTTGTATTTGAAGAATCAAGTAGTCCATGCTGTGCCTATATGCATACCGGTAATCAACTACGACGAGGATTAGCCTACTTCCGTTTCCACCCTTTCCCTGCACACTGTCTCATTCTACATGTATTAAAAATTGGTATGTTACTGTAATATTAATTATGCACGAACCTACATGTAGAGTTGTTGCAAGATGGGTCCTTATATCTACTTAGCCTACAGACGCTAGGTCGTTTCGGGAAAAAGGACAGGTAAGGTTAAATTTAATATGAATAATTCCCTTGCGGGTATGGGTATTTAGCAAAAGGAGTAAACAAAAGGACCCAGAGATTAGAGAAGGTATGCTTCAATTTAATATGAATAATTCGCTTGGCGTAGGGGTACATGTATTTAGAAAACGGAGGAAACCGAATGACCCAGCGAAAAAACTCAAGAGATTGGACAGGCGACTCTACTCCTTCAAATTGAAACCATGCCACTTAACACAATGACAGACCCTGTGATTTCATGCGCATGCATTACCTACTAGACCATTCCCCCCAGCCCCACCCCATATCGAATAAAAGTATGACTTATTTCAAATATGATATTTACATATAAAGAAAGTAGAGAGACTTCAATCTTACTAGAAAAATACTAGATTACCTGAAATGAAATGGGGTTTAAAGACGTCCTACTGGTCAGCTCCGACTGGTCTAATGCATTGTGCTAAGTGAAAATGTTTGTCTGGGCAGCGACACTATGGCCTACTCTCATACCGAATTCAAACTGCCAAGAGAACTTTTATGTGTACACCAATGAGTACATTGGATCTCAGGGGAAACCACTCTGCAAAATCAAGATGAGCTTTCTCGGTCAACCCCAAGAGATAACCTGTGGCCTCCATGCTAGTGTGCCAGCACCTAATTTACTCAGTCACCATGGCCGTCTTCTAATTACTGCGACAGTGAAACCATGTGACAAACAAGGATTATTAAGATAGACTTTTACGGCTTAGGTAGTTCCTTGGGATTAAAACTTTTGATACATATAGATACATTAGTTTCAATTTCATATCACACAGTTTGTATATATGGTAAGGTAGCTTTAATCGTAAATTACATATCATGTATTTATTTTTTCAGTTTCAATATTGGATGTATATGCAAATCACCCAGAAAAAGATCATGTAATAACAAAAGAAATTATAAAAGAAAAAAATGGAAGAAGAAATGGCTGGAAAAAATGATGATAGAGCAGCTTTTTCTTGGTGGGTAACTTTTCAATTCTAATATAAAAGATTGTTATGCTATTTTGAAATCTAAAATTCAGTTTAGTATAGTAAAACTGTACACGTCATGTATGAGCAGAGACAGAATCTTAGTTATATGTAGATATCACTGTCTCATCTGTGGCAAAGCAAACCAACACATGAAACAAAACAAATGTAATTAAATTAACATTTTTTTAATTAATCAAAACTGTCTAGTCAATTTAAGCCAACTAATACATTGCCAATTTTTTTTTCAGTTACCCACCTCGGAAGATCAAGTTGGAAAGGGCTATTGATATTGTGGAGACGTTTTCTCACAGATCTTGCTTATCAGACAAAGACTATGTAAGTACCATGCATATTTGCTTTTTAAATCAGGAACTGGTTCTATACACTTGGTGGGGGGGTTGGATGGACGTTAAACCCCATTTCTCACTCTCTCTCCTAAATATTGAGATTTTTGTTTACTTTTAAACTGCATATATTCAAGGTATCAGGGGCTTTTTATGGCTACCGTACAATTGTATAAACATAAAGGACTGTACCTTTTGAATATTAAGCCATCAAATTATTTTATAATTTTGAAAATGAAATGAAATGGGGTTTAACATCCTACTGTTTTGCTTATAAATTGGGCTAATGAAGATGGGCATACGCCATACAGTGTGCTATGAAGGGAATTTTGCCCGGGCAGCGGCGCTACAGCCTACTTTTATATCGAATTCCAATTGCCAAGGAATCTTTTACGTGCACGCCAATGTGTACACGGGACCTCGGTTTTTCGTCCCATCCGAATGAAACGGGCATACGCCATACAGTGTGCTATGAAGGGAATTTTGCCCGGGCAGCGGCGCTACAGCCTACTCTTATATCGAATTCCAATTGCCAAGGAATCTTTTACGTGCACGCCAATGTGTACACGGGACCTCGGTTTTTCGTCCCATCCGAACGACTAGACAGCTGTCCTTGTCAGGTCCTCCGTCCTGTATCACTGACAAGGGGAAAACACGCAAAATGTAAGTAACATATATATTTGTATTTTTAATCAGGAAGTACTTCTATACACTTGCTTGGTAATCTAGTTATTCTTCTCGGGGCAATGCCTAGGACTCTACTGTTTCAAGTACTTGGCATGTTTGATTTTTGCCAATCACATCCATTGATTTCCTTCAAGTTGCGATAGGCCCTACATGTATGTGTATTTTTACAGTAAATAGCAGTAAAATAATGATGGACAGTATTTTACTTTCAAATAGATTTCAATAGATTTTAAAGGGTAATATCCAATTTGTTGTCAATGGAAATAAAATAAGAATGGTCCAAAAATAATTAGACATTGCCAAGTAAATAGGTGCTGCCATGATGTAGTAGGGAATCTGGATTTGCAGACAATACATGTATGAAAGGGTGAATAGTTGACCTATTATGAGACTTCAGTCCCAAATCTCAAGACTTTTTTCTGACTTCTAACTCATTTGATTTGAGCATAATAATCTGCCTGGGTCTGTAACTGGACAAGACACAATAAGCATTACGCAAAGTTGAAACCAAATAGAGACTCGGTCTCGATGTGGCAAAATAAATTGTTTATTTAAACGTTGTGAACCATAGAAAGTATTCTTATTGCCTACTTTTTATTTTTTAGGCTGGAACACCATTGAAAGAGTATTTGCTGTATGATAACAACAAGAAAACCCAAGCATCAATTTATTTTATACTTCTGGGAAAGAATGCATTTGACCCAATTTTTAAATATTTATTTTTTGTTATTAATGTTAACTTTTCTTCCAAAACACAATTAGATTTTAATTCTCTTCAGAAATGTATGTATAATATAGCAAGTAAAGTGACATATAAATCACTTAGAATTTGGTCAGAAATCATAAAGTATTTAATAGGCATTACTAGAAACCAAATGTAGATCAAATACACCCAGAATTACAAAAAACCTTCACTTACCTAAAGGTGACTTTCCCTTGCTTGTGAATTGATATACGGTTTAGTATCCTACTTTTCTGTGTTCTTAGAGTGATTCTGCCCTACACCCTACTCTTATATAAAATATTGCAACTGTCAAGGGTTCTTTAACGGGAACCCGGGGGGGGGGGGCAATGATTAACACGCACACATTTGATCAGGAAGTCTGTCATTGAGTCAAATAATTCAATTGTCAAGGCTTCTTCTAAGTGAACGCAGTCGGGATGGTTTCGATTCCGGGAATGGGGGAGGGGGTGGTGGATGGCCGAATGGTAAGCACGTGCGTGCGGTATCATACGGCCTGTCATTGAGTCAACTGGCGTGGTTTCGAATCCCCGGTTGTACGTGACAAGGAGTAGGGTTGCCTGTCCAATCTTGTGGGTTTTCTCCGGGACCTCCGGTTTCCTCCCACTGCTAAAGATCCCTATGCGCAACGAATTATTGAAATAAAATTAAACCATATGTTAATCCCGAAATGACCTAGTTTGTGTCAAGTGGACGTTAAACCCCATTTCTCTCTCTCTTTCTTTCGATTCCGGGCTTGTACCCAATTCCCTTGCCATATCCAACACTACTGACAAGTGGGAACTATGCCGGAAAATCCAGGTGAAATTTCTCGGCCAACACCTTATACTCACTGAACCACTGTGGCTTATGACTTGTGATTGTATATAAGTTTTTTGTACATATGATATTTTTTTATTTCAATCCTGTAATCTTGATGCTTTGCTTCTTTTATTTACAAAATATTCATTTTGTTTGGGGTTTTTTTAATGAGGAAAAGGTTTTACATCATTTTTTTACTCCTGCAAAATAGTGCATTTTTCTTTTGTTAGTTTTCTGTGTATATTAGTTATTTCTATATGTCTCACAAATCACTTGTAGTGTGATTTTGTAGCACTTTTCAGTTTTTGAAATTGTTTCAATTTAGTGCATAATTAATCTTAGTGCTTGGTTTGGATGTTATTAAATTTAGATATTATTTGAATTATATATTTTGGAGTATGGGGTAGGGATACTGTGTACATATCTTTATATCCTGATTTCTTTTTTTGGGGTAAAGAACAATTTATATAGCTATTTTATATTTTGTGATAGGTAAAGTGTGTGTGGTTAAGAACAATTTAAACAGTTATGTTATATTTTGTGATGGGTAAAGTGGGGTGTGTGTGGGGGGGGGGGGGTCATTATATATAACACAATATAATTAGTATTAGAATTCTCTGTTTTTCTGTTAACATTTCAAATATCTATTTAGTTTTGATGTATTAATTTACTTTTTCCTATGATTTTATGAATAAATAATAATCTTACAAAAACAAAAAAAAATTTTGTTTCCTTCTTTTATCAAACTTTACAGGTCTAACAGAGCAAAGAGATGGGTCCTGCATAAAAAGGTTGCTATACTGTATATAAATTGGGGAAAAACACAACACAAGTTTTTGTGGATGGTTATACACAAGTTTGTATGAAACCACACAAGTTTGTATGAAACCACACAAGTTTCAGAAATTTCAACACAAGTTTCAGAAATTTTAACACAAGTTTCAGAAATTTCAACACAAGTTTCAAAAATTTCAACACAAGTTTCAAAAATTTCAACACAAGTATTGTGTAGATTTTCACACAAGTTTGTGTTGTTTGATAAATTTTAACACAAGTTTTGTGTTGTTTCAACATTTAACACAAGTTATGTGTTGTTTCAACACAAGTTTGTGTTGTTAAATAGAGACACCTTACTTGTGTTGAAAACAACACAAGTTTGTGTTGTTTCAACACAAGTTTTTTTTCTGTGTATGAAATAAAACAAAATATGCTGGAAATTTCAGTCAAATAGCTTCCGTCTGAACCGAGAAATTAACGATTCAATTTTCGGCTAGTCTCTGTCGTCATTACTAACGTTGGTATGATAATAAACAAAGTCTCGATTATACATTAGTTAATGTCTAATTAATAATTTAGATAAAATTTCAGGCCCAAAGAAACACCTGCAATAGGCAGATTTATCTCTTGCATAGTGTATGTTTAGAATTATAAATTACGATAGAAATAGCTTTTTTTTCTATAAATTACTAAATGTCACCACGAATTTAACCCATTATTATAAATGAAAAGGTAATTAAATTTAAAACGTAATGGTATTACATGTAATTACTTTTGCAACGCAATGGCCCCAGTTGCCAGTACATGTATGTCCATCTGGAAATTGCTTTGTCTCTGCATATCGACTCAGTTTCGTTAATCGTTAAAGTAGATTATGTATATCTTATAAATAGGGGCGTAAATGTGGGGGGTGTGGGGGTTGGGTACACCCCCCAGGAAAAAAAATAGTCGGTCGCAAAATCAGTGCAGTCGGTCGCAAAATAAGAGCAGTCGGTATCAAAATAAGTGCTCACTGCACACGTTACGCTAACGCTACTCACGCAAAACTTTAGTATAAAATAACCTTGTCAACTTAATGTGTTTCACTCTTATTCTGTTGTGAGTATGTAGGTCTAAGAACAAATTTCCCCCAGGGAGAAAAATAGTCGGTCTCAAAATAACTGCAGTCGGTCTCAAAATTATGCATCGCCGTCTTAATGAATTAATGAGGTAAACAAATAATGCCAGAATAGATCCCAAATACTAGTCGGTCGCAAAATCAGTGCAGTCGGTCGTAAGATATGAGCAGTCGGTATCAAAATAAGTGCTCACTGCACACGTCACTCTACTCACGCAAAACTTTAGTATAAAATAACCTTGTCGACTTATCATGTTTGAAAAAAATGTTTTTCACCCCATGGCAAAAAAATAGTCGGTCTCAAAAAAAAGTGCTCACCGCAGTCGGTCTCAGACTAAATGAATTAATGGGGTGTTTTCTGACCATCAGAATTCTGCAAAATCTCTCCCCAAAGTCCGGGGCATTTCAGAGACCAAGTAAGCGCCCCATTGAGGTAAAGTTCCCTCAGGCCCAGTCCTCAAAAATTAAAAGCACAGTTACATATCGGCGCTCAATTCCATTATGCCATCATTCTTCAACTCCTTCTCTGTCATATTCACAGTTACAGTGAATCGCCCAGTTAGTAGTACCACTAGTGAGTGAGTCGTAGGTCAAAAGACTGTAGAATTGTTAGTTCTACTCTCACAAAACAGGCGACATTGACAGACAGGCCCCAAGATTCTGTCCCATTTCTTATCCTCTCGTTAACGAGAATTTGGATCCATTTGCCATGACATTGACTAAAATTGTCAGTCCCAGTCCCAAAAATTAAAAGCTCGGTTACACATCTGATCCGCAGTATCTAGATCGCTACTGCTCGGCTCCTGACTGCGTCACTCGTACTAGGGGTATGGGCATCAGTCGGTCGCATTTTGGCTAAACACCCCCCCCCCCCAAACAAAATCGTTATGCACGCCCCTGCTTATAAATATATGAAAAGGAGAGAGGGGGAGAGAGAGGGGGGGCAGAAACCCCAGAAGGTTGGACAAGTGACCCTTCTCCTTGTCACGTAGAACCGGGGAATAGAAACCACGCCAGTTGACTCAATGAGAGACCTTATGGTACAACGCACACCCCAAATGACAAGTAGTACAGTTATATGATGGAAATAATTATTGAACAAATTCTTTGAAATATTTGAAATACAATAAACATATACAAGGTCATGGGATGAAGAAGCTTAATGATTTTCAACGATTTCCAATAATTACTTACGGGGTTTTGGCCCTTGATCACTTTTCAAATTCTTGTGGACGCTCTAGATACTAAAGTTAATATCCGATCGACTTTATGCGCAGTGTTTATGGTCATGAGACGAAAAGGTCTCTACATTTCAAGGATTTCCGATGACTACCGCCAGAGTTATGGCCCTTGAATACTTTTTAAAATCTTGTGGACGCGCTAGAGGCCAACGTAAATATCTGATTAACTTTGAATTTATACACATTGTTTAAGGTCATGAGACGAGGCAGCCTATTTATTTATAAGGATTTCCAATTACCACCGCAAGAGTTATGGCCCTTGATCACTTTTCACAATTTTGTGGACGCTCTAGGGACTAAAATTAACGTCCAAGTGTTTAAGGTCATGAGACGAAGACGCCTATTGATTTTCAACAGTTTCCGATAATTACTCCCAGAGTCATGGCCCTTGATCATTTGGAAAAATCTTGTGGGTGCTCTAGAGACCAAAGTTATCATCCAATTGGTTTTCGAAGTATACGCCGTGTTTAAGTTCAATTAATACACAGAATTTACGGGCTTGAGACAAACAAGTCTATTGATTTTGTACAAGGGAAATACGTTGTACAAATTGATTTTTTTTAAATAATGATTTACTTGAATGTAAAGAAAATTATTTTATCAAAAAGTATAAACAAAAATTTAAATAAACGGATATTATAGTAAGAGATGAAATAACTCTCTTCTTATTGATTATTTATACTAAATGTAGAAATATGTAAATAATGTTGTATTTGATATATTTATAGTAGGCCTAACATCATGACGTTGCGTCTATTGTTCTACATAATCCTTTATAAATAAAAATGGCCTGAAGATGTTTAGTACGAACAAAAAGCGCTAGCCGTTGAATTAGTATTTTGGTATCTTTCTTTGATTTATATATAAATATATATGTGGGAGGGGGGGGGGGGTGCGTGTGTGGGGGGGGGGGGGTATGTGTGTATATATATAATATAATATAATATAATATATACACATAATATATGGGTGTGTGTGACTCACACTTTATCAAGCTCTGCACCGAGTTATGTCAGGTTAACTTTCGAGCATTATTCAAACACCCCACTTTAGTAACTGCATAAACTGCATATTAACCATGATACTGTTTAAACTAGCAAGGAATACATTACTTGGAAATCCCGTTTGGTTTAAATTTATACTGGTTATTGATTACGTCATAAAGATGGTTTCTGTTTCTCGTGCTGTGGGCACGTATTCCCAGAAAATTGTATTTTCGCTTTTATAGAAGCTATAGCCACTATATGAATGAGTTTTTATTAGACCACACCACCTTAATAAGGACTATACAGGTCTGTACGAATTATGTTATACGGTTTATTTCATTTTTTGACACGATTTTCGATATTGTTATTATTATTACACTATATCGTGGTAGATTGTAGTTTGTATTGATCTTCTTGTTTATGTGGAGAAGCAGTATACAGAATAAGTATAACCTTGTTTAATACTTTCTGTATTACGACTGATTGTACATGTAATTCTCTTAATTTTCTATTTTCTCATCGACTGAATGATGCGTAGCTGTGTTTTCGAGCAAAAGTATATGATCTGCACTCAGAAATAAATGAAATGAAATGGGGTTTAACGTCCTACTGTTCTGCTGCTAACCTGGGCTAATGAAGACGGGCATACGCCATACAGTGTGCTATGAGGGAAATTTTGCCCGGGCAGCGGCACTACCCTTATATCGAATTCTAACTGCAAAGGGACCTTTTTTCGTGCGATCTGCACTCAGTATCCTAACTATTCGGTTTTTAATCATTATGTTTGATGAACACTTCATTCAGCTTACCTCAAGTATGACATACATTTGGTTATGACAAATTTTACACATTTTAAGAGCTCATTACATATACATTTTTAAATAGTCTCGTTAAAAGTTAAAATTTGATTAATTAATTAAAAAGCCGTCATTATAATTATAGGGTTTTTTTTGTTTTGTTTTGGTTTTTTTAAATTTAATTTAGGAAGGCAAAAATATTTATTGGATACAAATACATAAACATTTTGAAAATATTCTCTGTAAAAGGTGATATAGTTTTATTTAACGAAAAATCAACCATTCGAGTTTATTGCTATATTTTGTTACAATTTGATATAGGAAAACCAAAAATTTTCCCCCTCATATATGACGCCATGTAGGCACGGGAAACAAAACATATACATTTTTAAATATTCTCGTTATAAGTTGATTAATTAAATAAAAAGCATCTAATTTAATTCGAGTCTACATTACATTAGGTTAGAAATCAATATCGGAAAACCCCAATTTTTGTTTATTATTGATATCAAAATAACAAATATATCAAACGGCACATATTGACTCTATTTTCCAAACTGGATCATTATTTTCCTATTTTATACATCGAATTTTTTTTTATCTGGGATGTAGGCCTATATTCTTCCAAAATGTGCCTTTTTTTCCTAAGTTTACTTACGTATTACAGTTTTTAGTAAAGTACCAAAGATAAAGTAGGTACAGATAGGAATGCAAGTGTATAGAATAAAATAATTGATAAATGGCTTAACAGTCCAGAAATGTACCTATCAGTTTTTAATATGGGTACAGCTGATTCCAAAATTTAATCATCATGTACCTTTTTTCCTGGATAAATATTAATATCTGCGCAAAAAATGAATATATTCCCCAGTTTTTTTATTTCCTTGGAACTATTCACTTATCAATGGAAACATATAGTATTATTACTATACATATGTAAATTAGCATTTTTATTAATTTGTATTCTAGTTTAGCATCTAGAATGCTTTGAATCAATTTGAATTAGGCCTTACATAGCCATGAAAATATCCAACATAATTAGTGATAAAGAACTGAGCATTTAAGATTTGTTATGTTTTTGTAATAAACTGGGCCAAATAGATATTATTTCAAATTATAATGAAATTATGATAATTTTTTCTCTTTTTTACAAGATATTAATATACTGCTTTTCACTACTTTTGAACAAGAAGCCAAAAATTGTAATCATAAAATTGAAAGCTAAAGTGTAGTTAAAATACTTTAATTCTTAAAATACAGTGTCATCCGTCGCAGTCAGATTTCAGGGGAACATTGAATTGTTGCGGCTTTGCGATTTAAAGGAGCTAAATCGCTAATATTTGGGACCTAGAAATTCATCCAAATGGGTCGCAACGCATATAATAATGTAATCCGATTGTATATCAACTGATTTACATTCAATTGTTTCCGTTTTGACTCTAATTTCAAATTAGTTATGTCCAGCGAAATACGACATGAGTCTCAACCGAATGGCAATTTCTAGCGTCTGGTTATTCCAGTCTATTGCGCATGCTCTCCAGATAAAATATCTCGTCACCGTTTGAAATGAGTTGTGGAATATGTCTAGCCTCGTTCTTTCTGGTCACTTGTTACAAATGACGCTGACACGCACTATTGTACACGATTCATGTACCAATGGTAAAATGTTTATTTTGTCTTAAATATTGGATATCAGAAGCCTACCTTTTCCCGGTAAGATCAGAACATCAATGTTGATTTGAATTGACAAATAATTCGTGTTTTCAACGTGTAAGACTTTGGATGATATTGAGTTAGAGACTTGGCTACTTTAACATTATAACGTTTTGTAGTCAAACAAAATGTCTTATTATAATGAAAGAGATTTTAACAATTTCAACTTTTGCTCTTAACCACTCAATTCATTCCAAGGGAAATTTTAGTAACATTGTAGCTTGAGTGGGAATTATTCGGGACAAGATAACTTTGATTCTACCTGATAGAGAGTGGTGAAACTTAGTGTGTAGTTGATAGTCAGTTTGATTGCTTGATACTTTTGAAAAAAATAAATGTGCGATTAATTAATATGCGTCATCTATTTATTTGGGGATTTCGGCGGGGGACATCAGCCTCACTGTTGTCTTGTTTGCCCTCAATTCCTACATTTCGGCATACATGTATCATTACCATTCAATTATTTCTGTTATTCAATGTTGTTATATTTAAAAAATAGTCATCAGTTTGAAAATAAATGTAACAGTTTCAACCATATACATGCACACCATTCTTTTTTCTTTCTTTTCCATTCAATTGTATTTATTCTGTTGCTATGGTAGCATTCATATAAATGTCATTCAATGATTTAGAAACTGAACGAAATCCTAGATAATAATTTTTAGAATTAATCGATGTCCCATCCTTACGTGACTGGAAACTGATCACGTTTCCGTGTCAGTTTAACTATAGCCTCAAGCTTAATAATAAATCAAGCTCAGAAAAAAATATCCCAACGTGAATCTTCCATCACAGATAAATTAGCAATTTATCTTATAGTAACAAATTCTGTCGACTAGTAGCATTCACATAAAAGACTTGTATATTCGTTGTTTCTTGATTAGTTGAATATTATTGGACGGGTTCATAATAAGCTTACTGTATAATTATAATTTGATAATTTTCATTACACACTGGAAACAATTTGCCATTCTGACAACGCAACTAATAATGGGGCTTACTGGGCGTGGTGTGAACCCGGTAGTATTTCAGTCATCTAACTTTTAATTTATTCATCTGAATTCTATGTCAGTACGAAAAGGAAAAAAACTTGCTCCAAATTATTTAGATTCTGTAATCAACTGGTTTGCGGTTATAATTATATATTTATCTTTCTTTACGTAGAATTAAATATTTTATACTTAGTATCATGTTTGGAATTGAATACAACGGTTACTGTCAAAGTTTTAAAGCCAATACACCATAAAATATTCAATTACCATTCCGTTTTTGTTTACAATCGTGAATAGTCCATATTGCGTACATACCCATGTACGATGTGAATTTTACATTACATTTACGTCATTTTGGTTAGATTTAGGTTATAACATCGTCCGATAAATGCTTACTGTTAAATTTGGTTACTCTTACGTTAGAAATATGACGGTTCTCTAACCAATTACTTTCGCTTTGAATGCTTGTGGATTAAATAACATAAATCTTCTAACGTACGTTAATCAGTTGAATTCACTGTTAGTTTTTAACCTTTGGTTATATAACTACAATCTTATATCAGTTTTCAAACATATTGGGGTTCTTCTAATTGATTCACTTACATTCCCAAAATGCTAAAGTTTAAGCTTATGTTTTATGTCAGGGTTTTTTTTTTTTTAAAAAAAGAAAAACAACATTAATCTTTTAAAGCCCAAACATTCAAAACTTTTAACTTCGGCCAAAGTTACCATATGGCATCAGGCCCCGTGTTCACAAAGCATTCTCAGACTTAAGTTGAGAATTTACTCAACCTTGTTTGCCTTATTTTAACTAAAATATAGCCCTTTATAAAACTTTTGTTGTTTTGATGTATCAGATATATCAATAAGAAACTATGTGCAAAGTTTTGTAATTCTGCATCAAAGATATTTCTCATAAACAGTGATTGAAAGTTGAGCAAATTCTCAACTTAAGTCTGAGAATGCTTTGTGAACTCCTGTAATAATGTTAATACTTTTAAGAAAAAACTATAAACCCATCTATTTCTCCAAGCCTTTTAGATAAACATCAATCTAATTAAAATAAAGATCTATATTTCGTTTCGTTTTTTATACTTTCGATGGCCTACACTACATGTAGATCTAACAAGTTATAGTGGGAGTTCACGTTCTATGACGTCAGGTACCAAGCAAGCGACATTTGACCCGATTACGTCAGTCATTCGATTAGCGACCGCCATGTATTTTTTATCTACTTTTGCTTTGTTTTGATTTCTATTGCTGCTAATGTCTAGCAGCAAAAAAGGTCAAACGCTCGATTTGACAGACCATTTGATTGGCTGACCCCTCATTTCAAGCAGAACACGAGTTAAATAACAACGCTTACAGATCCAAGTGTAGTAAAGACAAGTAAAATCGAAATTTGGAACTATAAAAACGAAACGAAATTGGATCTGTGTTTGAATCAGATTGAGATAAACATGTATATATTATATTGTAATTTTAGCTTGTGTTAAACACTATTGTGATTACTAAAATTATTATTATTATTTTCCCCGGGAGCCTGTTTCTCAGTTCCTGTAACAGACACCGATCTGGGACCTAATTTTCTATTTGGAAATCAAGTGGTGGTTACTTGATCAACTACATTTGAAACAACTGCGCCGGTCGTAGTTTTGTCAATTATTTCCCTATTTTCAAACAAATGACATTACCGGAAACCCCGAGTCTTTTCCGGGACGATAGCAGTTGAATATTTCGAAATTTCGAAACTTTGTCGTTGACTTATATCGTTCGAAACTTGCAAGCATGTCGTTTACGAGAC